CGAAAGATACACGCCACTTGCTGCACGAGGCTTTTCAACATCAACTCTATGAGAATATCATTCTCTTGATGCTATATTGAACAAAACACACAAGACATTTGAAAAAGTTTTTTTTTTTTCCTGTAGCTGTAACTGTTTAAACAGCTGTTAGTAACATTTGCTTTGTAGAACAATAAAAATTGTTATGAGCAGTAATTCATAAGCTTATGCATAAGAGAATAAAACATGGGTAGCCATAATTTGAGTTAATTTTTTTTTTTAGAAATGTATTCTAGGTTTTATCCTCAAGTTCCATGAGTTTCCAGACCAAAGTTTATTTTAAATTGTCAAATATCCTTATTTATACCTCTTGTAAAGATATTTTTTTACCACCGTTGCTATTACTATCGTTTGTTTATATTTCATTACAATTTCATAATCTCCGTCCTTTCTAGCGGAATGATAGATTTTTTCATAATTTTTTCATTAATTTTGGAAATCAGCCATTTCCATAATTGAACTAAATCAGAAGTTTAGAAATTTAAAAGTTTTGTACAGTTTAGAAGTTTAGAAAATTTAGAAATTTAGAAAATTTGAAATTTTGAAATAAGTAGAAATATAAAAATTTAGAAATACTTGAAAATTTAAAAATTTAGCAATTTATTAATTTAAAAATTAAAAAAAATCTGAAATAATCTAGACCAATGGAAAAAAAATTGGGAACATTATATGGGATGTAGGAAATCTGCTTTATCATGAATGTTCGTGTTTGAAGTGATGCGTTATCTATTAGTTTTGAAAAGTTCATTCTATAGATTAAATAACAGTTCTTCAACATACTTTATTCAATGTGGAATTGTCGAGTTGTGTCATAAACAACCCATAAAAGGACACGCGTCAAATTTAACGTCACTTTTGTTAATTATCTTCAGCCAGAGCTATAAAAACTTCATTTCCGTTGTCATTTAACTAACTTAGGCATTAAAGCGCAAAACATGTTGTTGAAAGATTATTTTGCTGCGGCATTGCTAGTAGGCCTAACATTTGATGTTCACTCACCAAGTCATACCTGCCAAAATGCTTTTCAAAGCATCTTGCACAACCATCAGCGAAGCGGGAAATTTCCTCGGACCAACGCAATCAAGCTATTGGGAGCGCATGTTATTTCAAAAATTCAGTGCCCTAGATCTTTGTCTTCCGAAATACAAAGTGTGATTTCTTCGACATGAAAAAAAAACTAATGCTAAAGAATTCTACGATGCCTTGGATTTGTTCAGTTAAGCAACGAGTATCTGCCCAGGATACAGAGCTCGTCTCATCAAAAGTGTGGCTTCATTTCAACATAAGCTCTCATAATCTTCAAGAGGTTAGTTCTTTGAATTGTAAAATACTGTTTTGTTCAACTTCTGCATGAACTTGAATGATATATCGTTTGCTTAGTGGATTTCAAAATCGCTTTTAAGGCAAATCTCAAAACATATTTCATATTCATGGAGCTCCAAATCTAGAGCATTTGTCCTTTCAAATAAGAAAATTAAGCACAATAGGAAAAAATGAAAAGTCTACCCCTATATTTTTTCCCAAACCTTAAAAGATTAAATATCATAGGTTTTTAATATTACAAAAACAAAAAGCTTACGTAAAGGATTATGAAAGAGCTATTGCTGTCATATTTTCATGTACCATTAAAAAAACCGTCCATGAGATGAATTAATTTGTGGTTGCTTTCCGCATTTGCATATCTATAATATATATGATCATGTCAGATTCTCGGCTGCAGACAATGAGCCTCCCAAAACCAAATGCACAAAATGAAGAGCATGCAAATCCACAAAAAGTCCGATGTTTTTTCCAAAGCTGACGTAATTGATTAATGACTGTTTTACTAGGAGAGTATTTATCATAAAACCTGCTGGTTTGCACACACAATAATGATTCATTCGTCACGGAAGATATCACTCAGAAACTGACATTTGGTGGGGAAATCATGAAGGCGTCTAAAGTCTCTATCTTATTGTGAAATCAATGCTAAGAAAATATATCCGATGCCATTAGCGGCGTTAGATTTTGAAGATGAGAGCGATCCTCACAGTGTCTTACGGCAATCTACGCAGCTCAAACAAAACATTAAATGCCAAAATTAATAAAAAACTTCCTCATGATAAAAAAAATAAAAATAACTGAAAATATTCCCTCAAATTTTGATGTTAATTAATCAACATGTCGTGTTAGTCTCAACACTCATAAACTTGAAGGGATACGTCCTCTTTTTTCAAAAAAAGCTCGCAGAAATATCGAGCGAGTTTATGGAAATTTTTATAATGTCTACAAAATCCATTAATTGACGTCGGGATGTCGCTTTGACTCGCCTAAGAGGATAAAATATGTCAAAAATGTCATCAGTTAAGATGACACCGTCAATAAATGGTTTAAATGGTTCCTCGTTCGGTGATGTTTTCTATACCAAAATTTAGGAGGCAGCCAATGGCTCTATGATATAACACAAAGAGATTATCCTTAAATAATTGGTTCATACTTAGCGTACTTCGAGTTATGGATGCAGGCGTGAAGTTCGGAGAGCGCGCAAGGGAGCATAACGGTTGTTGGAGGCGCAGCCGATAGCAACTCTAGTTTCTCGAGTGCTCTCCAAACTTCCCAAGTGCATCTAAAACTCGACAAATGGACAGCTAAAACATGAAAAAATCATTTTATGACATAGCATGCAAATACGAGTTGTGCACGAAAAAAGAGTTTGTTACAACTGTGTCGGGTTTATCAGGTAGTCGTGTTCTATCCGAAAACGATGAATAAATGACGTGGAAAAAACCATCGAGAAATATTTCAAGACCAAATATTTATTCAAAGGATAGTAAATGTTCTGCTTAGGAGCTAAAACGTACGTATTTCTTGCAAGTGCAGAGACCGCTTCGTAGATTCAGCACACTTAGATCGCTGTTTACAAGAATTCCCAGCCAGAAAATTGCATAGGTTTAGGTTGAAGATTTTGAAACTTCCGAAATTGCACTGTTTTAAAATCGATACTTTTTTAGGACATATCAACACTTAAAAATATTATTTACCTTTCGAAAAACGGAGCGAAAAACTTGCAAATTTTTCTTTTACAAGACCCGTGCAAGTTTTGTTGAGTAGAATTTACAGGAAACAGGAAATTAACTAGCTTTGTGTTGAAAGTTCTGAAAATTGTACGATTTAAAAAAGGGTCTATTGAAAGTACTTTTGGGACATATCAACACTTCAAAATAATATTTACCGTTACATAGATGAGTTCCCAACGTCGTAAAGCCTCAGTTGAAGTCAGAAAGCTTACTCCTTCTTTAAGCCATAATCCGCATCGCGTTTGGAAACTGAAGTATCGTTATTTCGTCGCTTAAAAGGGCTACATGATAAATGTTTTTCGAAACGAGAAATATTTAGTATATTTTCTACAAGATCTAAGTATTTTAAAAGGTCTTAGTAAATGCCTAGGAATTTTTTTAAAAGGGCTATCTCAATCAGGATGGAACGGACAAATGATCTTCAAAGTTTTGAAACCTCGCAGTTAAACGCGCAGGGAACTTGCAGCCGAAGTGAAACTATATTCGTCATGTTACGGATAGGAACTTCGGAAAGGATACCAGAGCAAACTCTTAGTTGTTCACCCGCATGGTGGCCAGTGTAATTTCTGTGGCTCACTTCACTGTGATGGCGGGAGATCGCCATGGTGAGCTAGCCGCGAAGGACCTCAGCATGATCGCAGTCGCTCTGACACCTTCATCATTTTTTATTAATTTCAACAGTTATGCCACTTTAGCTATATTTTTCATCATTTCTGTCTTGTTTTTGAACACGAAACTACGTACATTAAACGAATGTTAGTTTCGTTTGACTTTTGTCACCGCACGTAAGCCATAATCTACCTTGAGTGTGAAAACCTTCAAAACTCGGAATGTCATTTCGTTTTTCTCGTTGAAGATTTTCGTCTCTGCGCAAGTTATGAGAGCGTCAATTACGGCGCTTGGCATGTTTACAACCTTTGTTTGGTTCTTCTGTTGCTACCTGCCGGCTCGCTTGTTCCGAAATTTCACTTTCAATTAAGGAAAAGAAAGCAAGAGAGAAGTCTGGGAGATGATCGGAAAGTAGGAATTGGCAGATGGCGTGACAGCTTCAGCTCGGCTCCGTGTTTTGCCTCTGATAGAACACATTCTTTTTAACCAATGACAGCGCGCGTTCTATTCCATCTTTATTATAAGATTAATTTACTCTTGCAACCATAATTTCAATTAGTAATTAATTAGTTAATTAATGTATTATAAATTTATTATTATTATCATGAACAATATTTTCGGAGCTCAAATCCCTCGAAAGTGAATTGCAAAGATTATCATAGTTTGAGCAGCCAATCAGAGCGCTCCTTCAACGTAACTCTAGCAACTGTTTTAGTTTATACTTAAATAAATGTCTGCCAAAACAAAGGTAATTCTAGAACGATTTTTGGGATACTCACTTGGAGTTGATGCTTTCACTCTCAGATTTTGTCATCTTCGACTTCAGCCTGCTAAAGGAAAGATATCTGTCTCTATCAAGCTCATCGGATTGACACTGAGATTTTTTTCGGACGGAGATCTAGATAGCAGTGGAAAAAAATAACTGGCGTATCAAGACAAAACCCTAAAGACAAGTCTCTTCCTGTTCTTTTCAGAACAGTGAATGAAAGTTATAACCTATCGATAATAAAGTAGACAGGATATTTTAAATTAAAACCCTAAGCCTGTGACGATTCAATTTCAAATTTGAAAATTGAGTAACATTTAGTGTGTGTACTGAACGTCCAAAATGTTTTACCGGCAAAGTCTTTAAATTGTTTTAAAAAGTCATAATGTTCAAATTTAAGCTTTTAATTTTTTATATACAACATAGCTAGTATATACGTGTGGACCACAAGGTCAAGGTTAAACAAAAAGGAAACAATAAAGGCTTTACTGTTTTTATTACAAAATATACTAACGAGTGTATGTGTGAAAATGGTGAAAACAGCGCAAGAAATTGTCAGGTAGGTTAAATTGAAACAATTAAGATAGATTTGAGTGAAAATTAATCAAAAAATAATTGCAACGTTAACTTTACATTTCCAATTTATTTTTTACGAGCATTCTATTTAACCTATAAGAGGGTACCATCAACGGTACAAATATTTGCTAGTTAATGAACCCACAAACATTTTTTTCTTTCAGGGAAGCTTGCTGAATACTATGTTTTTATTTGGAAATAACGAAAAATAAAGAAGAATTTATATGTGAGAGTGCTTATTTCCTCTTTTTCCGCTACGCTCCCATTCAATTATAGTTGTCATGTATAATGAATCAATGCTGGATAACCTTTTCAAGATAAATCATTGTTTTGCATTCTATACACTCTGCGTGCTAGTTAAGGATTGAATTTTAGCCTTTTCACCAAGAGAAGCCTGCCCAAAGTGTTCCCACACTCAATGCGCATATTGGGCCGTCTCTAACTTCTTCCGACGTTGAAGCTGCAAGCACTTAATGGACAAATTTATCATTGGTGCTGAATTATGAACATAAAAATTAAAAACAAAATGGAAGACGAAAAAATTAAATGGTATGCATTAGCGTTGGACCTATATTACATTTCCTTTCCTTGATTAAACAGTGTCTAAATTTGAGAAAATGGAAATGTTTGGAGTAAAGGCTAATGGCTCTAAATGGTATGGAAGAATTGCGATTAATATAAGGACGTCAGATTCAAAATACAATTTTCGTTAAAGACAGTTTTCCGTGTACCATATAATTACAGTTTCATTTTAGGAGAAATTGCGTGTGAAAAATATTGACGCCGAGTAAACTGTGACATCTGTGCGGTTTGGATACTGAGGTAAAAATCTATTATAACCATAAAAAGTAAAAATTAAAAACGATGTTCAAGTTAATTTATTTTAGCTTTTTTTTTTTTTTTTTTTAATAAAGCCGCATTAAGATGAAAAGGAAATTTGACTTACTTCACTAAATTAAGTCAATGCATATTTTTTCGACGTCATAAGGAAAATTACCATAGCGTACACACTTGAACCACGTCCGTCTAGAATCAAGCTGTCCAGTTCTGTAAATAGAACGCAGAAAAAAAATGACGAAATTAGGTCTTAAATTAGCATTCTGTTTAATTTTTCTTGTGTTTGAAAGTTCCCTTTGTTGTGAGTCGTCTTACGATGCTCTGTACGACCTTCAGAATATATTGAAACATCGTCGGAAGGCTGGACGTATACACCCAAGGAACAGAATAATTGAAACCATCGTGCGAACGAAAATGGAATGCCTTGACATCTGTTTACGGACCTCTCAGTGTGCTTCTTTTACTTTGAAAGCAGTAAGGTATAAGCGTGGCACAAGGACTGCTTGGATCTGTTTAATAAACAAAGTAGCAAATTTTTCACAGAAGATGGCAAAGCATGATTCTAAAGGATTCATTCATTTCAGCATGAGTGCCTCGAAGCTTCAGCAGGTCAGCTTTTTTTTCAGTTTTGTGTTTTAATTTCTGTCATTAATATTTGTTTGAGATTTGTCACTCTTTACTACCTTTTGGTTTCAGTAAAAGACAAGTCTTGGAATCCTTAGTTCATCATTTCGAAATTTGTACTTTATCATTTATGTATCTTCGGATCGTGGCTAACATATCTACTTGCTACAGCACGTTTTCTTTGCTTTGTTCTTCCGATATTGTTGTAATTTCTGTTACTGCCTTAGTTTTATTCGAGTGACTATGGAGGCAGTCTGTTGTTTCACACAGCAATGGCACCAACCCTGTCCATACCCGCCTCAACAACGTAAACGTGTATTAAAATTTTCGACCCCTGACGCAGTATGCAGTCTGTAGCCTCTTTAACTCTTCTACTTTCAGCTAGAACTCCCACCAAATTCGATTTTAAAATTAGGACGCATATAAATTGCAGTATTGTATAACTAAAAAAGCTATTAACCAGGAAATGAATTAGAAATCCTTATTTACCGAAGTCTTTCAAAACTCAGTTGTTGAAAAACCGATAATGATGTCATTGTCACTATTGCTGAATTAATTCCATAAGTGGAACCCTTACCGAGTCCAGTTATGGTTGTAGCTTTGAGAGTTCGCCAAGAAATCGCCAGGTTGGGTTATGAACTCGGCTTTGCTTATTTGATTATTTTACCATACGCTCGGAAGGATCGCACCATTACATAATTTGTGAACTTTTTTTTTATTTGCATGAAATATATGCGAGGGTAATTCCTATGTTAAATATTTCTTTCATTTCGTGATTCTATTTGACAGATTCTTTTAAAAGCTCCTGAGGGAAGTTGTTGAAGGAAGAGACCACCATTGCTGTCATTTTGTCACTTGGCTTCGTTCACTCCACAAGAAAGAAATCACCACACATTTAAGTCAGATTGTTCCACAATTTTAGTCATGTCAGGTAATAAGTCAGATAGGTGTTAAACAATGCATAGTGTTTACCGCATCTCAATTAAGTTGGTGTTTCGCTCGAACTAAAGGCGCTATTTCACTTTCGCGGAGTCGGAGTCATGTAAAATTCGAGTCTTAAGCTTGTCGCAGTCGGATTCGGGTGAAACAGAACATTTTCATTTTCTTTCGGTTTCACTTTAGACTTCGATACTTATGATACAGTGAAAAGAAATTCGTCGGAATCGCACACAAAAGCGGAAGGACGAACGAATCACAATGTTAGATCTTAGGCCATTCGATGGTTTGCGACTACGACAGTCCAGTTTCCTTTGGATCCTGGGCGACTGACTTGTAAACATCATCGATACTATTTTTCAGATTCCACTGATTTGATTTTCACTGGTTTGTATCACTCGTCAGCTCTGGTTACAAACTCGACTCCGAATCTGCCGGAAGTAAAAAACAGCCTTAAGAGGAGTGTTTGCCTAGCATCGCTTAACATTTGTCTGGCATTGCTATGAATATGAGCATTTTTGCAGGCAAAATCATAACTTACGCGAGTATGTTTCAGGATACAAGAGAAGAAATATGAGAACAGATTGAAAGTAATAAAAGGCAGCACCAGAGTAACTGTAACTGGTTGAATTAACAAACTGATTGCAAGTTTCCGTGGTCTGTTAAGTAATTGATCTCACATAACGTCATAATAAGATAAGAACAAAAAAGTGGCACAAGTAGTTCACCAGGCGCGGCCGAGTGAGTCACTGATGTTCTTACCACATTTTGAAGTCTCGTTTGATCTGCTACTGCACAGACCCATATAGAGTCTATTTTCAACATAGAGTCTATTTGTTTTTTTTTATTAAAAAAAGCAAATGGTCTTGATGGTATCGTAATTTAAGTGTCTTTCTTCCAATAGCCCATAAGCAAGAACCAGTCAAAATCGGTGTATGATCCTGCTTATCATTTAAAAAATATTGGCCCACGCTGTACAGTCCAGGATGTCACTTTGTGGCACATGTAAATACAAAATGATTTTCCTACGGAAGCACTAGAACCATGGCGTGCAGTGTAGCGTTGAATAACCCCGTGATCAGCCACGTGATTGAAGAGCAAGGAACAAGCAAGGGAATTCATCGGCGGTGAATTATGAATTTGTTCATGCTTAGCGTGCGTATATGGATGCACGCGGGAAGTTTGGAGAGCAAGAAAAATGCGTAAGAGTAGCTCGAGGCGCAGCCGAGGGCAACTCTAGTTTTTTGAGTGTCACAGAGCGACAACAAGGATCTGCGCGAAGAAGCCTTTGATTCTTTTTTGTTTTGGTAAATTCCCAATTAACAACTGTGCACTTTATTCCCCAGGTTGAAAACATTTTACCATCAAGTGTTGTTAATGACCAATTGATGACTCTTTTTTGTTCCCAGTGAATGTCTTTTTTGGCCAAAATTTGTTGCAGCTGGTCTGCCGACAAATTTGCGAAACGTGCAACTTGCGAGTTTTTTTCGGCTTTATTTTTGTTGCTTGGTGGATCAGGACCTAAAAGGTCAATGCCGACAGAAAAATTGGGCAGTTCTTCGCTTGTTTCTTCCATATTTGAAAGAGAGGAAAAATGCACTGCAGCTTAAAAGGACGGAAACTCTGAAGCCAGGTAAAAAATGCTCACGTATTTACGCACGCCCGTGCGTAAATAAAGATTTTGTTCATAGCGGTTCAATAGGACTTATATAGGGCAGGCTATGTTATAGGATGGCATTTCGTTATAACAACAGCAATCTATTATCACCATTCATTTCTAGGATGTAAATGAACAGCTACGCTCAAAAAGTGAATGAAATATTGGGATAAAAGTAAAAGCCATGACGACGAACTAGGTCAATAAACCTACAATCTTTCCCGAAAAGCTGCGAATTCATTTGACCTTTCTGTTGAAATACAGTCCATATTTTCGCCACAGAAATTTTCCTTCTTCACCATTTCCCACACTCTTTTGGTAGAGTAGGTTTATAATGATATATGTGGAAATTTGCATTGACGTGTTTATAAAACTCGAAATGCAGTATCGACGAGCACCAATTTTTCACCTGGCTGGTATAAATGTAGCGAATCATAAATTAACTAAGGAACAAACAGAAAAATTTTAATAAGACAAGTTGCTTGATGAAATCAATTGCATTTTGGCTGTGTCAAGATCAATCTAGAGATCTCACAATTCCTTGAGAAAACAGACTGTAAACTAAGTACGTATATCACTAGAATGACGAGGCTGAATTTGCGCACAATCTTTCCCTCGTGTGTTCTTGTTCTGGTTGCAATCACAAGTAACGAATCGTGTCCAGGCTCTGCAGAAAATTTTGAACACATTTTACAGACTCGTCAGCTTCCCGGAAAATTTCAGTCTAATGATGAGGGATTCATCCTATCTAGACAGCCCGTTCATTCAATGATGGAATGCCTAGATACATGCTTGCGAACAGTTATGTGTGGTTCTTTTGGAGTGGTTAAAAGGCCAGAGAGGTGGGGTTGCAGAATTTACAAACATATCCCACACCACCAGCTTCTAAAGCTGATCCATCCAAAAAGCCGGATGGATGCATTTTAACGCAAGCTCATACGAACTTCAAAAAAGGTTAGTTTCATGTATTTGACATGCTAGAATTACCACAGATTTTATAATTCCAAAATAGGTTAGCCTCTTGGTACAATGATAGCTTATCATTTGAACCAGATTTTAGGGCTTATAGGCATAAATATAAAATGAGTCTTGACCGAGCGGAAATTTTAATTTTTCGTGATAAGATCTCCTTCACAATTTCTTCCGGCAGTGTAAACAAACAAAAAAAAAAAAGAACAGCAAACAAATGTGTCAATTTTGCCTTTGACAAATCCCTTGTTCAAAAGCTCGGCAATGAAGAACGTGTCATGCAATAAATTTGCTTCCAAGGGTCACCTGTCAAGATAAAATGTAATGAAAAGTAAAAAAAATTACAAAGGATTTGAAGAAAAATTTGAAGATGTTTTCCTGACAATTTAACAGATGCACTTTCGAATGCATTCATCGAATATTTTTTTTCGTCAAAGGGACCCTGCCTGTATAAATGTGAATTTTATGCATAAAAAGAGATCAAGCTTGGCCCATCAACTTCTTTGCGAAAGTGATATGCTTTATTCGGAAAGAGGTTAACACTAGAATTTATGTATTTGGTATTAAAATGACAACACAGATGAAACTTTTGGCCTTTTCCTGATCGACATTTGACCAAGAGAGATGTCAATAAGGCCAATTCGATAACGGAACTGACACTGTGTAGTTTGGTAGGCACATCTTAACGATCGAAACTAATAATTGTGGAAAATATCAAATAACGAATATTCATGATTGTGCGAGGAGTGACTCAGATTTCAAACCTTTTTTTTTTATGGATTTTATTTCTTCTCGTATTGATTTAGTTTTTTGGTGGATTTCTAGAAAAGACAAAAGTTGATATGAGTGATTAATTAAGGACTCTATTTTTGTTTTTTTCTTTTTTGATGGCATGGTTCCTTTTTTATTCCCTCTTTTTCTCCTCATTTTTTACCTTTCTTGGTCTTTCGCTCTAATCTTATTTTCCTTGTTTTTATTCCTCTTTCTCTTCGTTTTCGTTTCCCTTTTTTTTCTTGGGTCTTTTCTTATTAAAATCTTAACTATTTTATTTCCATTCGTTTTGTCAGATTCTATGGCAAGCAAACGTGGGCTGCAGATAAAGGAAAAGAGCTCTGTTTACATTAACAATATATTAAAAAAGTGGTGCTGAGAAAAACATGGACAAAGACATATGCCTCCCGAACAAAAATCGTCGAGTGTGATTTATAGCATGTAGTGCCACTCCAATAGAAGAAAATTATGCATGTGAAGTTTTTTTCGTTTTCAATTTTATGTAAAACAAGGACTCGGGTGGCCTTGATTTTGGTGTCTACTCTTACCTGTACCATCCGTATATATTTTGGATTATTTGTTCTCAAAGCAACAACAAGAGCAGCAGCAGCTTCAACAACAACAACAACAGCGTCAACAACAATAGCAAACAAGACTAGCAGTTTATTTGGCAAGCCAGTAATTTGCAACGTAAAAAAATATAGATTAGAAGATGAAGATCAAAATAAAAAAAAGGTACTCGAAGCTTAAAAAAAGTGCCGTGGCCTATCTATCAGCATTAGATCTAAATATTCGATCAACCTGACCGGTACCAGACGCCCGAGGATCTTTTTCTTGAGGAAAGCACGGTAGTTTAGAGTGCGTTGCATCGGCAGAGCAGCAGGCTGTTGCCACAAAATTTAACAAAATATTGAACTATTTAAGACAAACAAAACGACAAAGGTGAAGCTTCCATGTACATCTCGCGTTACTTGCACTCACCAGCGAGGATCATCTGTTCACTTGCACAAAACCCGCAGGTTGAAATATGATTTACTTGAATTGATTATAATTTTATCTAGAAAATTTGATAATTCAATAGCGCATTTTTATCAGCAAACATGATTAGTATCAACTACGTCTGGGTTAACCTGTATCATTAATTATATGTAATGCGCCTATCAATTATCACAAGAAATGGCCGACATTAAGTTCTCGTCGCTGATCTTGCTTTTTAAAAAAAACTTGGCCATTGAATCTGACACTTGGGTACGGCATTTGAACACACTTTTAGCCCGGGGGGGAGGGGTTATTTCAGCAAACCAATCTTCAAATGTGAGAGGGGGGATAAAGTTGCCTGGGGGGCATGCCGAATTGATTGATCGACTCATGAAATAAACGCAAATGGAAAAAAAAGTAATGAATGAACAAATCCCATTATGTTTATATTTCACCATGGTTTAATACTGACTCAAAGGTGTCATAACGATTTAATTAAGAATTTCTTGCTAGGCAGAGAAATTTGAATTTAAATGGGACATCAAAGTGAAATGATGAAACATAATCTACGACCAAGCTTCTCTTTCAGTTTTGTCATTTTAGTTATGACTATTCGCGGGGAGTCGTGTAAAAGTTCTTCTGGAAACTTTGGAGACATCTTGCGAACGCGTCAGATTCCAGGAAGGTTACCCACCAAGGAAGAATTCAGGCTCTCAGAGCATTTGGTTGTTTCAGAAATGGAGTGTTTAGATATCTGCTTGCGAAGACCAACGTGTGCTTCTTTCAACGTGCTCACAAAGACCAGCCACATAAATTGCATTGCTTACAATGACATCCCGAATTCTTTGCATCTAAAACCAACATATCAAAACAGCGGATGGCTCTTTTTCAACGTCAGCTCACTTGAACTGCAACAGGTTAGTTATCACAAATCAACCGCTGATTATGTCGATGGAAGCGAAACAAAGTTGATGCATCCTTGGGTAGTTAAGATTTGTCAGTTGATTCTGTTTTTGATGTCAATTGTATAGCAATGGTACCGGATTTTCAAAGGTTTTAATTAGCTAAGAGAAAATCGAACTAAAACTGAGCTGTGCTAGTGAGCATTTCCCAATTACAATGACAGAAATAGCAGGGAAAGATGTTACTTGTTTGGGATAGAGATGGATATTGAAGTCAACCATCGAATCAAACACAACCTGTGAACTTTGCAGGTGACTGGTAAAGCATCGGAGCGGAAACCCTGTCTGGATTTTGTCTTCTCGTGGGAGACCCCACGCTTGTCACAAAATGAAAAACAACTTCCCTTATACCAGAAAGTCTAAGAGCCAAAATAAATTAGCACTTTCTACCGCTACAAACATTTTGATCTAAAACGAAATAGAAGTGAAAAAAAACATGAAAACACTACGAAGACCACATGTACCTACACAAGAGAACAACAAACAAAACACATACAAAACAAAAACAAAAGAAAAATGTAAAGGATACAACAAACCTACCATTTTTTTAATTTTCTATCGAAAAAAACATGTTACAGGAGCCATGCAAGTAAAAGGGAAACTCCCAAATCTAAAGTCGATTTTACAAACTGAATTGGAAAATAATTCCTCTTTCCTTGTGATTCTGGTCAGATTTTGCCGATCTGATCGAAAATGCGCAGAAAAACTTTTATCGGAATGCTCGGATTATCATGAAGATATTATTCGCTCTTCTTTAATTTTTTCTTTTTGGCAATCGCTTCGGCTTTTAAAAGAGTTAGGAAATTTATCTATATGTTAGCACTGTAAAAAAACAGCTTTATGTTTTTAAATTCATAATACTACCTTAGTTCATTTCATTTACATGTGAGGTCTAATTAATGGCTTTAAGTAAAATAGGAAAAAGCTAATTAGAGTAGTTTTGGTGATAAATTTTTATCAAAAATTCATTGGATTACGGCAAAACTGTTAATGGCAGCTGCAAACTACTTATTTGTCCTTAAAAAAGCAATAATGATAATTCGAAACCACCAGCCATTTGAGTTCATATTTATTCCACTTTACACATCAAAAAGTGAAGGAATAATGACCAGTAACGTTATTATAGAAATACTTTTTATGCATAAAGGCACTATCGACCGGAAAAGAACAGAATCGGTTTTTTATGAGATTCTATTCGGTATCACATAACAAAAATTAAAGCTAAAAGGTTCTACACGTTTTTTACATTTGGGTTAGTTAAGATATGTTGCTCATGCTCATTGTTGGCTGCTGACATTAGCCATATACCAAATGGAAAAGCACTGAGGTCTAGATTTCTTTGAAAGAGTTGATGGACATCTGCGCATGTCACGAATTTTCATTGGAATTCATACCAACAGTATAAACCAATTAAAAGGACAGGAATTGAAAATAAGAAATAAAAAAGGAAGGATTTTGAAAGATTTCATATCCTTTGTATTCGCGAAAGTAATATAACCGCTCACTTGTCGCTGAGGCCCGCTTAGCACACAATTAACGCTTTAACTGAAGCACAACTTACACAAATTGCATCCTCGCGATCGACATACAACAGTTTACGGGAAAATGTGTCAAGTATTCAAAGGATATTGATGCCTACGTCTTACCCTTAAAAAAAAAAAACCCAAACTACACCACTTTTGGGATTTTCAAAAATTTTGAAAATTTACTATGCCGGTATTGCTATGGTTTTCACACGTGAGCCTGCAAACGTTTGTGACAATCCAGACGTTTCTCAGCTCCACTGACTGCTTCACAACCTCAGTTGTTGTATCCCCATAGGCTTAAGGGAAATCTCTGCTTCGTTTTCCTCCTTCTCATAAAAAGCTAATTTGCACATACCTTTTTTTAAACAGATTTTGTCTTCAAATACTCATTCCTGCTTCGCAACTAAGATCCGTAAGTTTGTACGATTTTTTGGCAAGATCATTATTTGAATGCACGGACAAAGACACTGAATGTAAGAGCAGTGAGATCACCCTCACTCTACGTCCTAGTAGCCTCATTCAGTATAGTGGTTTAATATGTGCCCCATAAATTACAAACATTCCATCGTTTTTTAGAGAAGACAGGATTCTTAAAATGAGCGCTGTCTTAATTAAGTTAAGCCTGAATTAATGTTGCATCTTTGTCACAAAAGGAAATAATAAAAGCTGAGGCACTTGATTGTCGAGTGAATGCGGTAATTATCAACTTCTGCTGCAGTTAATATTAAGATATTTAACTGAGCGCCGAAGGGTAATTTCTTTTCTTCATTCATTTATCTCCAACAGCTGACGCCCTCACCGACGAAGATGACTTCTTACTGACTGATGCTGAGTCTTGGTTGAGCAAGCCATAGTGACACAGCTGGTTGTGGAAAGAAAATTCTCCCTCGAACTTTATCAAAATACGCCAAAGTAATTGCAACCATTTCTAAAAGCCTTTAATTATTCAGAGGTTTTAATAATTTTCTCCATTAGCGGCTGCTCATACATACATATATACATAAACTTAATTGGGTCTCCCTTAACAGGGCTTTTCAGACACAACTAACTATCTCTACAGTTCATAATTTAACAATCGTAGTTTATAATCATAATAAAAAGCAAAATGTCAATGATGCCTATTCCATTTATTAAATATAATGTTACATAGTATTTTCTTGAAGTTTTTTATACCCTGATACACTGAAGATCCTTTAAAAAGCTATTCCATTGTTTGGCACTGAGCACAAAAATAGAAGCTCCGTTGTCCTGTCACTTGACAAGCGGCAGCGTGGAGAGCTCAAATCTTTGGATCTTCTCCTGTTTCTTCTATGAATCGCCGACCGTTTTGTAAAGTTATTCGAAAGATAACCTGATACGTACTAAGCCATTCAAACATTTAAAAACTAAGACTAAATCTTTAAATAAAAACTTTTCGGAAACATTCAGCCATTTAAGAGATCTGCTACCCTCGGAAATGCGATCATATTTCCTTAAACATAAAGCAATTCTGGCGGTAAACAATTCTGTCAGTTTATGGTTTAATAGCCGACTGTAACGTTAGGTGATCGAAATCCAAACATGAAAATATCGGCGGTGAAAGGTTCCTGTTGTCGACGGAAAGACTGACGAACCCCATGTCTATTGGCTATAGCACTTTAAAAACAAAGAAAAGAAACGGAGAGTTTAGATCATTAAACACTTTACCATTAGCCACTTACTTAATAAATTAACAAATGGTTACTGCTAACACAAAATTCAGCAACAAAGTTATAAATTTTAGCCAGACAAGAGTACCGCCATAACACGAAAACCAATCGCAATTGGTTGATCGCAAGTGATCATAACGAGATCCAGCCTAAAAGCACTTCACGCACACCACACAGGTGAATACTATGCTTTTAGCGCGCGCCGATGGGCTGGTTCGGAAGTGATAACTCACCTATTCACCTCGCTCCAAGAGGCCAGAGACAAACTCACCCGTCAAGAGTTTATTTTCCGACTATTTTTAGGTAAATCGACAAAAATTAACTTTGTGTGTGTGTGTGTGTGTGTGTGTGTGTGGTATATACTAAAGCATTTATCTACCTCAGTGTCAAGGATAATGGTGGATATTTTCCTCCACTTTGTTAAATTATTTACAGTAAAATTACGTCCCTTAATAATTTCTTTTAATTTTTCTGTCAAAAGAAATGACCAATTGTCTAAAAATTATAAAACAAAATTAAAGCGAGACACCCAGGCTGATAAAACTGTTTTCACTTTAGCACAGTCTTTGACAGGGTGTCAAAACCACTTCCACGACTTCAACATTTGAACAGATCCTTGATGGACACAGAGTTGATAATGATTAGAGAAAGTTTACTAAGAATTTTTTTCTGTTTTCTTATTTTTTTTGTAACCGGAGGATCATGCTGGAATTCTTACGATAACTTTGAGAATATCTTGCGGACTCGTCAAATTCCCGGAAGGTCAGACAATGGTGAGCACCGGCTCTCAAAACAGTTTGTAGTTTCAAAAATGGCATGCCTTGACATCTGCTTGCGAACAACAAGATGTGCTTCTTTTAATCTGCTAGAGAGGACTAATAAGAAATGCAACTGCATCATACTTGACAAAACTCCTCGGGAATCAGATAAACTGAAACGCACAGATACAGGTTGGATGAATTTCAACGTTAGCTCGCAAGAACTTCAGAAGGTAGGCGGCGATAACATAAGACACTGCATTACCTAACTTCTTGCATCTTTCATTTCTTGGTGGGTCATTAGAGCTTGTTGTTTTATTGGGAGCTTTTTCGATAGGAATTTTCCTTCAAATAGACGGCATAGAGACGGGTCTTAAGTTTTAAAGGTGCATTGTAATTAGCTTGTTGGTGTGTTCAGATCATGTGAATGAACGGCACGGAAAATGTGGATAAGTCTTCCCATTTGCAAATATAGAAATAACTTAGTAAATAAGAAAAATCTCGATGAAATCACGGAGACATTTAGCGTGAAAGTTTTTTATGTCTAGCGTACATTGAGCTGCAGGACATCTGAAGCCAATTTTCAAAATCGAAAATTTAATTTCCTTTATCTTGATTAATATTAGCGAGATTTCACCGAGCTGTTAAAAAAAGAAGTGATTTTTTTTCTTGATAGAAGCTAAAATTATAAATGAATTGGACCGTAAATTAAAATTTAGTTACAAATGATTTCGATTTGCTGGAAATAAAATTCTGACCATTCTGTAAGAGTTGGTATTTCTCTTCTACGTTTTAGGCTATCCTAATTTTTGAACGATCCTGCCAAGAAATTTTTGTTCGGGTGTCAGTAGTTAAACAATGCTTCGTCTTGAAAATGAAAATGACAACATATTTCATCATTTGCATGCGAAACCTGATTGGTGAATCAAAGAAAAATGAGGAAATTAATTGAAACCAATTTTGGCGACTAATTTCCACCTAAAAAAGATACTTGTATAAACCTTAAGAAAAATATGGGCTTTAACTTAATGCATCACATAATTCTCATTCTAAAAAAAATTGAATTAGGAAACTTGCTTTTTTGCAGATTTTGTCCTTTGACACCCAACTTTGCCTTCTGGAAAGATCTGTAAGTTTTTTTTTGTTTTTGTTTGTTTTTTTTAAATAATACATGCCGAGAGAAAAGCAAATCCCTCCGAACACCAAGAGCAGAAATGTTTCGTAATCAATTCCATCCGCTCTCTGCAAAACTATCTACATGTGCACAAGAACCGGATCAATTTCAGTATCTGGGCAACTGCCCACCTACCCCTCCCCTAACCTAACAACAGACTATTGATAACAAGTTAGGGTTAATGTTGGGTTAGGGGAGGGTAGGTGGGTAGTAATTGCCCAGATACTGATATTGATCCCAAGAACCTTGTATTTACTAAGAAAAATAAATAAGTAAATTATTAGCTGATGAATAAAACTGGAAGCCGCCAGTAATGTATTCTTTTCATCTGATTCTTTTAGCCTCGCCGACACTGATGAAGAAAACGTTTCCTGACCCAAGCATGAGTTTGATGATAAGAAAGCGAAGGCTATGATTTACTTATTTTGCGGAAATAAAATTAATCAGCTGGCGAAAAGAAGACAGAAAAAAAAGAGACAAAAAAAAAATATGTAAAACAGCACGAGAGTGAAGTTGATAAGCACACAGTAACGGATTAAATAGCCTACGTGTTGCCGTACCCTCCCCCCCCAAGGTGAAACTTAGGCGTGGGGGGGGGTACGGCTACACGTAGGCTACGGATTAAAATGAATCTTGATCATTCATCCTTAAGCTCTAACAACAGTAGGCATTTTCGCCACAGAGTTTCCTTTATATCTTCTAAGGTGCTGACAAGTACAATGTAATAGTCAAAAGCTTTTTCAGTTGGAGATCTTATCCTTTATTCTCGTGACCCTAATGTATGATTCACGGGAGATGACCTAAGGAGAAGTAGATGCTAGTCACTGTTAGGGGTTGAGGGTTAAGGCTAGCAAATATAAACGAGCGAATCTTTTGGTAATCCTCATAGTAAGCTTCCCTCCTTGTTAAGTTTATGGCTGAAGATATGCCCATTGAAGAATGTCCGGACTCTAGGATACAGCTCCTAAAAGGCTTTCACTGAAGCAAGACTACAGTGAATGCGCAATGCCCAAGACAAACGCTACTCATCTGTGGGAACTTGGCTCTCCTGAATCGCTCAAGCGAAGGGCTAACGCTCCAAACGTCAGCTTTTTACTCTTTACGGTAGCCAATTTACGTTTTCAACTCAGTTGTTAGTATTAAATTATCTCCTGAAATAGTGCGTATCCTGCAGTGCCGGCGTCTTATAAGAGCGTGTTGACTCTATTGTAATCTTGCGATCGTTTGTTCGACCGACCATATTTGATCTCTAATTTGAGTAGACGGTGGGGTAAGTGGGGTAGGGGGGCAGCGGGCAGGAAAAGGCGAAGGGAGAGGTCCCATCTCCCGTGCCTCTCCTTCCTTTTAACCACCCCCCTTAGTATATATTTCTTTCTCTCCCTAACCTCCCACTGCTCTAAAAATCAAAGGCAGCAGCTAATATCGCGCGTCAAAATTACTATAGCTTTGTCTTGACTTCGAAGTAAATACGTTCCCATGCCTGCTTGTGTGGGAACCTATAAAAAAACCTGTTAACTCGATTGAATTTCCGAAGCATAACCACTGAGGAATCCCAAAAAGCAAACATCACAGGAGGAGGTTTAATTCTATAATTTATTTGCGCACTAAAATCCGAAATACTATATAACAGTGGCCAGCTTCTCTCCAAGTGAGATCTGAGCCTTGCAAAGGCCTGACAGGTACACAATCATCAGCAAGTCCTGCAGTAAAAATGACAAAAAAAGTAAGTCAAAATTGAATAGAACAGGATGCTGAAATTTAATAATTTAAATGTTGCTTGTACATCTTTGAGGTCTTGCAAACTGGTATACTGTAAGAGCAGTCTTGTTTAACAAGTACAGTTAAAGAGGAAAAATACAAGCAAAATAGTATATAAAGGGGCTAATGTTTGGGTTGGCTGGTTGGGAAATGAGATTGCATCCTGTAAGTCAGAACAATGCTAGAGACCGACCGAAGCGTCATGAGCATGGACGCTGCAGTTCCATAGAGGATGAACATTCTGATTGCAAGCTCACATGAAATTTAGCGTAGTGTAGCTATTACAGTACAAATCTGGAGCACCGCTTAATTCATTACACCTTAACATAAGTGTGCATATTCTCTATACTGTTCTCTTTACGTTTCCTTAAAGCTGCTGATAAGGAGAATTTGTCGAAAAATCAAGACCTTCTTTACTAGGTGATCATTTCCTTTATTCTCACAACATTAATGTGTGATTCAGGGTAATATTGGTGTGGAGAAATTAATTCTAGTCACTCTGGCGGTTAAGGAACAGCCTTAAGAAGACCCTTTCCATTACTTTGGTCACATAAATGATACATCCACAGGCACTGTAAAGTTAATATATCATTACCTGCATGTTACTGTTCAGGATAGATTCAAAGTCTTCTTTTGACATTCGAGGAACTGAAGTAACGAGATCCATCAGCTCTCTGCCTACACTGTTGTTACCCGCGACTTTTCCAGCCTTTTCCGAAAAAAGAAAAAAAAGCGCACGTGTTACTTTGCTGTGAAAGCACAACTTTCTAATGGCGATAACACTGTCCAAAACCAACATTTCGAAAGCAAAACAGATTTTGAACTCTCTCTAGGTGTGGTCTTTTTTTTCCATCGGTAGAGGCTAGGGATAAGGGAGGGAGGAGAGGGTTGTAGTAGGCCCCCTTAATAAAAATCAGGGAAAGAAGGGGGGAAGGCGGGGGGGGGTGCAGTAAGCCCCCTTAAAAAAATCGGGATACAGTCCCTATGTTGCCTAGCATAAAATTGGCATGGAGATATTTTCGTTGGCTGGGCCAGGTTGTTCAAAGCTAGGTTAAGATAACCCAGGATTAGTGTGAAATCTGATTTAAGATCTGAAAGCATTAAAATAGAATTATTTTCGGCAATAATTTAATCATTGGATGCCCTTCAAATAATAGAGAATTAAACGAGAAAGGCTTTCGAACAAAGGAATAGAGAAACCCAAATTAAAATTTGACTCTGGGTTAGTGCTAATCATTCAAACAAAACCTGGGCCCAGGAATGCAGTTGACGAAAAATACGTTGTGATTTCTTTAAGACTTGTAACGGTATTTTGCTTGGAGTCGAAAAAGCGAAAATGTCGCTAAGGCCTCGCTGATATCCTCACAACAACAAAAACAAAAACCCAAAAAGACTCACCAAAACATCATCCACATAAGCCACCACGGTACCAAGCATTTCTAAAAGCCTTTCACTAGCACTAGAAAAACAGAATATTGATAACTCAAACACTGAAAATTGCATTATAGTCAACTTAACCACCTAGAGAGAGTGCCGTGGAAAGGGATATGGTACAATATTATTCCCAAAAAAAGTCCCATTTATTGGAAACAAATGACTGAAAGTAAGAAGGGATATTGTAAAATACAGTTAAATGCATTTCTTCCTTCCTTTTTTTTTGGGAGGGGTGGGTGGGGAGGGGAAAGAGGAACTTCCTACTCTGACAGTTATTTAACCCTATAAGTATAGGTAACAACAAAATATTGCCTGCAATGTAGTGTTAACAAGCACAATTAAATTTTCAAGGACAAAAATATTGAACAAGCCCAAAGAGTAAGTACAATTCATAGTCTTTGAAAAATTCACATCATTCACTTGTTAATAATTTGCATGAAAAACACATTACAGAAAGTCAAGAGGAAAAAAATTTTGCAGAATGTGCGTGATTTGTAATTTGCGTTACAACTTTGCATTTGTGCTATATAAAAAATGTACTCGTTTTCAGCCAATCAGACCCACATAATTTTTTCATGTGTATTATTGAGAATGTAAAGCCTGAGCATTGTGCATTACAACTTTACACTAGTGCTATATAAAAAATGCACTCCTTTTCAGCTAATCAGACCCACATAATTTTTTCATGTGTATTATTGGGAATGTAAAGCCTGAGCATCGTGGAAAGGTGTCTAAGAGGGTTGGTAAAGCTCCTGGTCACTACAAGGGCATTTCTCAAGGCTTCTGAGACAGACAGCACTGCTTTAGATACTGTGAAAGATGCGCTTTTGTAAAGTAACACATTTGTTACAGAGTCCATACCATTACTAGGATCACTTACACAAAAGCAACCAATCTTTCAAAGGAAAAAACATCGATTTTGACAAAATGTATATTAAATTGAGACAATCAAGGCTTAAACTAAATTAAGCACACTATGTAACAAAGACTTAAGATGGGAGTCATGGCTTATTTCCAGACCAGATTGGTTATCTGCAATGACCACAATGTGAAACAAACAATTACAATTCTCTTTTGAAAGTGCTTTTTATCCCAATAACAAACCACAACCTATTTCATAACAGATTTGTGGGTAAGTTTTGTGCGAGAGACCCACAATCTAAGAGGGCGAATGTGAAGTACGAGTGATCCTCATGCCATGGAAATTTATATTTACCACAAATTATATAATACAGACTATTAAAATAACATTGAAGAAGCACAGTACACAGTATCCTTAGGATTACTGACTGTTCCACTGACCTGTTAACATGTTGCATGTCTGTTAGTGGACTAATACTCTGTTTGGCTGCATTTTTTGTTCTCTGGAGCCAGTTCACTGCAAATTTAAATACAAAAGGAAAGTTTAATTAATAACCCTTTAACTCCCAGAAGTGATTAACCCTTTCACTTCCAGATCAAATTTGTAATTCTCCCTGCTGTCAACCATACAATTCTTATGATGTTAGTTCAGAGAATTAATAAGTATTGGATCAATGAATTATCCCCAAATTGATCTTTTTCTTTATTCTCATCACTTATCTGGTTGATATTGTATAGACATTGTAAGGAGAAATTCTGTCTTGGTCACTCATGGGAGTTAAAGGATTAACATGAAACTTCTCCCTGTAATGACTCTTACATTATCCAGCAAACAGGTCATAAAAATACTAAAAGTAGAAGTTGTTGTCCTGATCTAACATCAAATTCTCCTAACTGAGTTACAAGAAAATGTGTAGCTGCTAGAGGGGAGAATTGACAATCATACAGTACCCACTTCCACACAATTGTCATCATTGTCATCAAAATCATTGCTACAATGTATATGACCATGATGACGATAATAAAACACATTTACAGTACAGCTTTATACTGTACATTGCTTACTTGGCTGTCAATGATTAACCTAATCTTGTTATCATTATGGAAAATATAATGACTGTTTAGAGTGCATTAAGAATTGAGCATAGGCCAAAGCATTTTTATAAGGCCCTGGTAATAAACCAGCGTGTGAAATTGCACTTAATACAGGTGCCAATGTGACTAAATTTTTGCATCTAAATCGATACATAGAGGCCATCTTGGATCTAGGTGAGCCTGAACATTGTATATCTTCCATCCTAGTGTCCACTTTGCAGCACGTTAAAGATCTTTTCCCTAACTTAATTTTGAAGGCTCTTTCTAGAAGGCTGACAGCATAAAAAAGATTTTGTTTGTCTTTGAAGATGGCAACCAATTTTTTTTTTAATTGGCTACCACTTTGAATTCAGGAGCCAAGTGGCTATTTGAAAAAAAAATTAATTTCACACCCTGTAAACAATTGACATCAGTTTCCAAGATCCTTAACAGCTCCTGAAACTTCTTGTTCAATATTTTTTCAAGCAAATATCATTAATTAGTAGAGAAAGATGATTTTTAGTCTTATCATGAGTGTGAGACGAAGAAAAAATTCTGAGTTCCCATGAGGAATTGAACCTCAGACCTTTGGATTCCATGCTCTGATGCTCTACCACTGAGCCACAAAGACTCTACAGTGAGCTAGGTTTATTACAAACTTCATATGAATCCTGCACACTGCTAGGATAAGCAATGATAGGACTGTGTCATTTTTACCAAGCTCAAAACTTACCATTTCTCTTATTCTATATACAATCATCAATAAATGTTTGTTTGGATTATGGATACATGTAACTACTTTACATGAAGTTTGCAAAATCTTACCTCCCACTCTCTCAGGCCCAGTAAGTATAACCTCACAAGGGATGGGTGAGAAAATGGTTCCCTCTGTCTTTCCAGGAACTCCCATCTTACAGCTGTACAAAAACATATTCAGATCAAATATGGGCAAATAAAAAATGTGTATGGCCAAATATGGTAAGTCTGATCAGACCAGCCAGACCAGTGACCACACTGTGCTTTGCTGGCCAAAAAGTATTATCTTTGTGATGCTTTCATCATTGTCATCATTATGATTAAAGCATACATATGGGAAATTGCATAAATGCAAATGTTTTTCATGATTCAGGTTATACTTTGAAAGTTTTAAGTAATAATAAATGTGAGCTCAATTGAAATTCCAAGCTCATACTATTTTTCCTAATAATCTATTACCTATTATCAAGCAGAAATACACAAAATAAATAAATAAGACACCTCACACCATCCCAAACCAAAAGTAGACAGGCCTAGAGAACAAGTTTTCCTGGCTTGTTTTCCATGATCACGATTAGACTTAGTACCAATGCTGATACAACCAGAGTAATCAGAAGTAAATTCCCAAAACACTGATACAAAACTTAACAGACCTGGCACAAGTAGTATCTAAAGCGACCCACCTCTGATAAGCTCTTATTCCCATGCGAGAACCTTTAAGTGTAGTGTCCACTGTAACATGCACTGGATTGGTTGCCTCTCGTGAATAGTATTCATGAATGAGCAAAGAATGCTCTGTGACATCTGAGCCTGTAGCATACCTAGAAACAATCCAAAACACAAATTTTAAATGAAGCATTGCAAGAAATCTCTTAATCCATAATTGTTATATCTGTTAAAGAAAGTTATATCATTAGTCTTGCCCCTTAGAGTCACTATTGATTTTCATAGTGAAACTATTGATTGAGATTTGTAACATTTCAACTGCCTTTAACCATTTAACTCCCCTACGTGACCAAGACAGAATTTCTCCTTACAGTAACAATACAGTATCAAGCAGATAAGTGATGAGAGTAAGAAAAATATCAGTTAGAGGATTGTTAGTTGATCTAATACCAAATTCTCAAAACTAACATCACAAGAACTGTATGGCAGACAGTAAGGAGAATTACTAATGAGATCTTGGGAGTAAAAGGGTTAACACTGCCAATCTTTGCCAGGTTATGAGGTTGAATAATTATATTAATATATATATCACATTTGTGCAGCTAGATGGTCAGCTTCTATTGGTGCATTTTGCATGTTCATTTGACATAACTGATATCTTTTCTAAAGAAAAATCTCTTTAGCAATAAAAATCCTCTCTACATCTTATTCTTCCACTTACAGTCATCTTCCCTCTTTCAAATTTAATCATAAACAATAACGCTTTTTATGTAATTATGTAATAGTCAATGTACTCTAATTTAGGATTCCCTTGTTGTGTTGTTGACATTGGTTACAGCAGGCTGTCATGCTTTTTCATGATACTTGTAGATGTCAATGTTTCCAGAATTTTGCATTAACCACAGTGTATCTCTTTTTAATGTCCTTGGCAAGAAGTTCTATGTCTACTGTAAGACACATTTTGACCAAAATTTCTCTCAAACCACACCTTTAACTCACCATACATTTTGTAATCAATTTAAAAAACTACAGAACATGTTCAAGTTGTTAAAAAAAAAAAAGGCACAGTACTGAGAAAAAATTTGTTAATCAACAGGAAAAGAAAAAACTGTTCAAGTTAAGAAAAAACCTCAAGTGATTGACATTTAGCAAAAGAATTCTAAAATCAAGTGGAGAATTCTCCAATCTGTGACACCACGTGAATAATCTAGAGGATATCATAAGCAGCACATGTACTCACCAGCCTACAATTTCATCATTTGGGTGTGATTTTTTGTGTAGATCAAACATACTTTTAGCATACTCTAGTTCAATGGCGACCTGAAATAAAGTAAGAGTCACAGATCCTAAATCCATTTCATCAAATCAATAAGAAGGTTAAGTCAGCATTTAAGTTTAGCAGTCTATTTTGCAGAAGCTTATTTCCCTATCTCTAACATGGAGCAACATGGAGTATCATGCAGATCCATACAGGTTACCCTCTCTCCCTCCTCATTGGTAATTCATAAAAGGGTAGGAGGTGGGGGAGATACTGTTGTATCTATCACCATGATATTTCACCTACAAGAAGTTATTTGGTGACATTTGGTTTGTCACATATTCTTCTTGATAACATTTGCATTTTATGGCTATTCACGATCACTTGAGGCACATAATTGCCCCTTAGATGGAAGAAAAACTGAAACCCAAATAGGAAAAACTGAGAACCACATTGGTTACCAAATCCCAAAAACCTGATTGTGTTTTTGACAAAAACAGAAGAACAAATGCTAAAAAACAGAAAAGCTACAAACCATAACAGACACCAAAAACAGAAAACCAAAGTTTTTTGGCCAAAAACAAAAACATATCTACAAAATAACCTAAACTGCAAAACCAAAATTCCCAATGTCCCTCTAGTACCTATTTACACTCCTGGGTGGAATGAGAGGATACATGTATTTGAAAAACAACGAGTAGGTCTGTAACCACAACTTCAGAGTTGTTTCAACACATCAGGCTCAATAAATATTATTAATGAATTCACCCATCTTCAAACTAGCCTCTAAATTTCACTGAATAGAAGGAAGTAAGTTTCTGAAAAAACTGTGGTGCTTGCAGCAATGGGAGAGTATAAAAGGGTAATTTAGCATTATCAACTGAGTTGATAACATAAATCGGCCGCCGTAAAGAGTTTTAAAGCTGACGTTTTGAGTGTTAGCCTTCAGGTGAACGGCTAACGCCTTGAGAGGTCAGCATTCCCTCTGGAGAAAGAGCTAATGCTCAAAATGTTAGCTCAAAATTTCATTGCCCCGAGCTCACCGAAGGTATTCTCATAACATTAAAACACTTTTAAGCATAAAGGTGACAAGATAGAGAAAATGATCGAACAAGGAATACTGTTTGATTTAAAACCAACTACTCAGTGCTAAAATTACCAGTAATCTAAAGAGAGAATGCACAGAATTAAGATGAATTAGGTCTTTCAAAAGGAAGTGTAAAAAGAGGGAAAACAAGGAATATATGGAACAGCCGACATACCCACAGAAATGTAATCACGATACAGTATATATAATACAATTATTTAGCGTAATCGTCCTGTAATGCAATGATACAATGCTTTTTCCTTGAAAATTAAGCGTTTTGCAAATAACATCTGAACTAACATATTGATTTGGATGAAAATTTATCATTTTACTGCCACCCTTACACATCGAATAAATATGCTAAAATTACTCAAACTGGAGTAAATTTAAGCCTGAAACTTAGAGAAAATTCGCCGGCAACATAAATGCTGTCATGAAAATAGGGCTAAAGTTTAATTTATTTACATGTGCGATCGCCTAAATTCAAATCAATTTAACATAGAACAGATCTTAATGACAGATACCTCACAGCGTACCTATCCATCAGAAGAATGTACAGGAGATAGATTGTGAAATTAAAAAAAAGGGAACAGCACAAAACAAGGCAATTAAGGCTTACTTCGTCTTCGGATTCATTGTGAGGAACGCCAAAAGAGCTTCGAATCTCGACTGAAGACTTGTCAATAGTTCCAAGAAGTGTTCCTATGACTCTTTTTGCGTCTTCCGAACGTCTTTCGAAGCCATCCACGATCGAAAATAACACTACAGGATGAACAAACACTTTCCTCGCTCTCACTGTCTCCGACAGCGCCATCTTGAATGTTACGCACGTGTTTAATTAGTTACCAGGTCGACTAGGTCCATTTTGCTGGTTGAGCCTTCGATCTACTAGTAACAGACCAGCATTTCAGAATGAAGATAGCTCTGGTAAGGGTTGTCATGTTAAAATGAGGTGAGGTCTCTGTCAGAGTGGGAAGACTGGTTTAAGGAATTATGATTTTAGATGAATCTTCCTGGTTTTCTCAGCGGTGTTTGGTTCTTTTTTTAGCCCTTTCATCGCAAATTTGTTACTTACTATACTTTGAAAGTAAAACCTTTCGACATCTTCATTTTTTAGCCGAAGACGTGAAACGACAGGGATAAAGGAATGTTCAGAGATAATTTGACCTAAGTAACCTTAATCTAAAATGGTGAGTGTCTTGAAATCTCAACTAAGTTTATTTTAAAACAACAACAAACCGAGATGTAAAATGTCAGCCATTTAGCTAAGCACATGGTTGTCTTCGCTCTGCGCATGTTCTAGTGTTACTTAGCAACAATAAAATAGGTCCGCACAATATCGACACAGTGAGAGAAAAAAACACACCTGCTTCCATACTATGAAACATTCGAATAGTTAATTTGTTATATGCACACTTCCTGTTTTCGCCTTCCTGTTTACTCGACATAGGCATATCATTATTCTCTGTATTTGCAGCAATGAGCACGTTTCAGGAAGGCAAAATCTCAACACTAATGATCTTCATGAACTGCAAGATTTTTCAAAAATAAAAAGAAAGAATGACATGCAATTTTTAAACCACTGAATATCTTTTTCGTTTAATGCGTTATCTTAGGGTGTAATTCAGGTGTTATTCCTCCAGTTTGCTACCACGGATGGTTTTTGGTAAAGCACTTCAGAAATATCATATAAATAACTGAGGGTCTTGATGAGATATTTCCAGAAATGCATGCAGAAACGAAAATGGCGCAAATTGGTCAAAATCGTCAAATCCCTCAAGCTGATTTCGCCTCGACAAATTTGACTAAAAATTTACCAAAATCCATGAACATTCATACGGTTTGACGAAATTTCGTCAAATTATCCATTTCCGTTACTAAGTGCACACTGGACACGAGTAGAGTCTTGATGGAGTTAACTTTTAACCGTGAAACATCAAAAAATTTAGCCATTAAGCAAACGAACTGGCAAATTTTAACCACTATACGTAGATTATTTTTAACCGCAAAGTTACGTTAGCTGTAAAAGCCATCGCCCCATTGAGATCCATTTATCTGGAATCTTCATTTACACATTTAAAGATGAATAACTTTATCTGCTCTAACAATTTGAATTTTGGATGGCTCTCAAACATTACGTCGAATTTTCTTCTTCACCGTGAGTAAGTTATCCTTAACCTTAGCTTTGTGCAAGGTGTAATAAGCTTTAATTTGCAGTAATAATGTTGCGCGCCAAAGCTGTCACTCAACGAGTGTTTCAATTAGGCTCCCACGCATTTAATTATCTTGATACGTGCTTGAAATGCTTTAGATAAATGATTTACAACTGTTAATTTCCCAGCACGCACAACTGAAAAAAAATATTCAGTCTGTTGTTTCTGATTAGGAAGGAATATGGGAAAGTCCAAGGAAAAAAATATAATGGAAGAACAGAATACCTGAGTGCCGCCTTCATGAAAGAGACAAAGTGGGAAATACAGTAAAGGAATTGACTTCTATTTGCCTACTAATAGTTAGAAGAAAAACAAAAGACGAGGCCAAACTAAAATGCAAAATAAAAATTACTAATTCAAAACTGTTTGAAAGGTAGGCATGACAAGACTGATCACTCCAGATCGCTGCCATATTGGCTTGCATCAAGAGAATATCAACTACTGAAAATATCTTGCTTGCATCAATAATGATTCATGTTCCCTCAGCAAGATTTCGTAGAGACGATGTTACCCCTGATGTATTTCTGACAATTAACTCCTGCAGACAAGTTCAACAAATAATTCATAAAGAGAAAGGTATAAATTTGTCAGCTGCCACTTAATAAATTTATGTATTTACAAATCGGTGTAAACACGAGGCATTATGTTATTACCATGGGCGTGCCTCTTTGAATGAAAGTTCTCGAAGAGCGCATCGCAATGGACCTCGTCGTTCTGAACATCATAAGCATTCTGGCCTTGACGTTCTTTCCAATAAAAACGAAAGGTAAAAACTTTTTTGTTTTTCTTTTACACATCCTCCTCAACTGAATCGTGTTTCAAGGTCGATTCTGTGTTCTTATTTAGTTTATAACATATATAATAGATTTTTCAATAGCGCGAAGGTGCTGCATCACCCAATTTTGCACGCTGGTGGCGTTTTTCTTCCCATTAAAGGTTAGTGGAGGAAATTTCTCCTCAGAAATCATGCAACAAAACAATTGTGTCATACTTCAGGTGTGCGTTCGTCGGGTTATGAAACACTTTGGAAAGTTAAGAAAACATTCAAGAACCAAGAGTTGCATTTTTCTTCACCTTGAGGAACTCTTGCGCATCTTTTGAGCTCTCCAAATCTCTCGCGTCTCAATAAACGCCTGCTGGCGCATGAAACAATTGTTAATTGCCAAGACTGTTCTAATTTGGCACTTTTTCTGTCGATCATCACAAATAGGTCAACCAAAGACTATTGACGCACTTGGTAAAGGCATAGAGAGAAATGCTCACACTGGTGTCGCTTTCGCCAGATTTAAAGCGCACAAACTGTCCTACCTGAACATAACAGCACTTGGAGCAGATTATGTCAACAGCAGTAGAGATTGTGGACTTACCTGTATCAACACACCCTCGTGCTTTTCCTTCAACCTGGCTGCCGTTGTTGATATGAACATTAAAATCCTATGTGAACTGCTTCCCTCGGACATCCACAACAACTCGAACAAACTGGTTGCCAATCGTCTTTTTCATCATTTCAGCATATGGGTAAGAATTTATATTTTATACATTTTAAGAGAATCGATGATGGTTATCTTAAAGATGTAGGAAGTTTAAGTCGTGTTTGCTCAGTAATTGCTTATAGGGAATATGGAAACAAAACGTCGAAGTCAGCGTAAAACGTTTGTGCAACATGTGATCAGATTTTAGCACCAAGACTCTTATACTGTATTAGCAAACATCCAGCTGGCTAAGAAAGAGGTGGTTAGCTTTCTCTGATGCTTTGATATGCTTTGTTTTATTTTGTTTCTTGACTCTACCTTTTTTTCCTGACTTAATCAATTGGGGCAAACAGGATATGGGTAAATTGGGAATCGTTGTGTTGTGATAACTCTTGAACCTCCTTTACGGCGTTTGTTTTGGAGTTTTCTAATTTTATATAATGTGACGAATGAGAGCAAAATTACCTGGTTTTAAACGGATCAGTTATGAACAAGTTGGTTATTAAACGGTGATATTTCTTGGCTATTTTTCTTCTCACAGACTACTTCATGAAAAGCAGCGGCAATCTTTGAGAATTACATTCGTGACCAACGTGTATGAGGCAGCTAAATTTCACAACCAATACAATAAATTTTGAAGAACCTGAGCTTTAATTTAAAAAAAAATAAAGAATCTTCCTGACTAAAACGGAATTTATCGAGAGAAAATTCCGAGATAGCGTGTACCATGCAGGTGAAAAGCACTTTACGAGCGCGCTGATGGCCTAGTCCGGACGTAACGTAATTTGCAATGATTTTTCTCCTACGAGCAGCACAATATACAAAATCGTGCATCAAGGGTTAAATTTCCGACCATGTTTCTTTACATTGAGAGAAAAAAATCATTTTTTATTTACTGTGTGATATATGATAAAACAATTATTCACCTCAGTGTTGATGAAAGTGTGAATATTTGCCTCGCCGCTTCGCGGCTCAGTAAATATCCACCACTAGTCACCTCAGCTTTGGTTAATAACAGTTAACTATTTTGAATCTTATCGTATGTCAAGGTAGCATGCGCTACCATCTAGAGCTTCTTCGCTTTCCTAATTTTTTTGTCTTTAGTCTCCGTGCTTAAACAAGCCCTGTCAAAACAAAGGCACCTGCCGTTCAAATTACGTGAGCAACAGTTACGTGTGTGTTTGCACAGAAGGATACACAGGAAGTAACTGCGAAGCAGGTAGGCAACGATTTGTAATCATCATTCATCATTCCTTCTTTCAAAGTTTTTTTTCTTTAACTTTCTAGCATCTAATGGTACATGACATCGCCCTGACATCATAGTAGAGCCCTCTCTAAGAATTATTCGAACACCTAATTCAGTTTGTACACAAGCGAAAATCGGAGCTGCCAGTACAAAATGCAGGGAAATGAGGTTATAACGGAAGCCAAAGGTTTCAAATGTATCAAGGGCCATTCGCATTACCAACTATATGCAGGAAATACAAATGTTTATTTTCCCTTGGCATCTTTAATTTAAAAACAAAACAAACAAAAAAAAACCAGACAATCTTCCAAGTTAAAACTTGTCATACGTTTTAAATATTCACGCTTCCTGAATCAATGAAAAAAAGAGTATGCCATGAAATTTTCAGTCACTGTGACACGACTTAAAGGTTGACATCAATTAGAAATACAGAGGAAAATTATAGCTTTTAGAGAAGATACAACCGAAAACTTAGGACTACTTCGAAAACAAAATGTAAAATATTGAAACAAAATATTGAGAAACGTGAAAGTTTTCGAGATACAGAAAAACGGCCTGCCTCGCTCAACAGACTGAAGCCAAGCAGATGCACGTATTAAGCATGGGACAATACACAGGAAACGCGGAACTACTATATGTACAAATCTTGTGCTTAAGTGTCCATTGCTCCTAACGATGAGTAATGATTTTCAATGTTGCTAGAAGAGATACATTCGAGCTAGAAATTCATTGGCACGAGAGCAAAAATAAAACAAACTTGCTTTATTCTAGAGGGGAACGGCATTAAGTGACCTTGTTTTATAAGTCCAAAAGGTGAAAAACATCAACAACAACAAGAATAAACAAAGAATCAAGCCTTTATTTTTAAGAATAACTGAGTGTATCAAAATCAATAATGCTTGCCTTTACTTCATTTAAAATAATCAGTTTGCAAAATAATTCTGACTGTTTAAAAGCTACTTTATCAAGCAGCCGAGTTGCCCCTTTTGTGCTCGCTCAATACAAAACAAAAATTATCACCATGGAATGGCAAGGACTTAGTAGCTCTGAAAATACGCTAGCCGTAATATCGCTAAGCCGGTGGATTCTCTAATGTGCACCAAAACTTAATCGACGGTGGTTTAGCGTCGCTGTGATATGATCGACACGATATTCGTCACAACAATTAATAAAACGACTCTAACAGTGCTTGATCATTGCGTGACACGTTGACTCAAGCGGTGTTGTCCCTATTCTTATCAACAACGGCAAATTGGCGAATCATATTGCGACATCAATTCCAATTGTTGTAAAAGATACCTTTTTTGGTTCAAATAGATATTGATGACTGCGCGAACCGTCCTTGCCGTAACAATGGAACCTGCTCTGATCATATTGGTGGCTTCAAGTGCGCATGTCCGAAAGGTTTTGATGGGCTCCAATGTGAAATAGGTAAGTTACGTTGAGCTGTCTATAACCAAAGTTTCCACGCATCGTTGAGGTTCAAAGGCAGTATTAGTGCCTGCTCACGCTTGGTTTAGGCTTTTTGTGACTCTCTTCTTGCTCAAAGGATTCCTTGTCTGAATTCTATACTTTTCCTTCCCGCTGTAAAAATTACAGCTTGACGTGGGGGTAGACATTGTATGAAGGGCCATAGCAGGGATGTACGGCTTATTCAAACTTACTAAACTACTGATAATCTATAGAACTGGCCTAATATGCAGCGTATCATTGTACATTTAGAAATATACTGTTAGTGGTATTCTTGTTATTATTTTTGCTGATGATTTGTATATTTAAAGTGAATAAATAAATAAATAAATGAATATAGAACGAGGACTTAATAACTCTCTTGCCCTTTATCATCTTTGTTTTGGCCAACTGACATTTTTCAAACAAGCACAAAACTATACAAGATAAGCTCATTACAGGAAATAGATACTAATTGAAGGCCCCTGAATATATCTTTTGCCACTAAATCGCAAGCATAACTTGGATCAAAGAGACAATAGATTTGGGTTTGTACACCGCTAATTCAACAAATTATGTTCTTATAACAACTGCTATTTAAATTCATATTTCTATGACAGTCCCTAAAGTGGAAGTCGTTCGCTCCTGTGACAAATTACCTGTCTGGCAACTCCATAATGGGGATGTTATCATCGAGTCGAATCAGACTGGTACAAAGTACCAAAACAATTTGGACTGCCATTGGATTGTGTCTTCAAATACAAGAATAGAACTTGTCTTTATGATTTTCGAAACGGAATATGTGCACGATGTTGTGCAAGTTTATGACGGTGAATCATCCTCTGCCCCTCTGATTGGTGGATTTAATGGATCATCTCTTCCTTCCCCAGTAACAAGTTCGTCCAGCAAACTTTTCCTTCGGTTTACAACCGATCATTCAGTAACTAAATCTGGATTTCGCGCACGTTTCCGAGGTATGATGCCTACTTATATTAATGCATGTTTCGTAAATCATAAGAAAATCAGTAGACATAACATTTCAAAATACTTCCAAATGAAAACAAATGATTTTCCTTTTCGATTTTTAAAATTGTCCGAAAAACTAAGAGAAAATTACTGACTTTTGACATCTTATTATGAACGTTTTGTAGAGGAAAAGTGGGCAAGGAACACTCATGATGGTGTTCATATGCATTGAACTTCAGGCGGTTTCCCCTTAAGCCATTGGGTTTCTTCAGTTTGAGACTTCCGGTTTCTCCCATAACTGTTTGCAAGGAAAGAATTCTCCCTTATAGTCTTAAGCACTTCCTCTTAATAACGTCCTCGACCTATTAAAGACTTTCTTTTTTCATTTATTCTTAAAATTCTTGGAAGATAAAGACTTGGATGCAATCCAACGCAGTCCCAGATAATTTTCAACAGATCCTAGATCGAGCAATTGAATAATTGATGAACATTTTAATCAAATCATAAATCAGTTGATATCGAGTCCTCTTTTCTCTCAAAGTTTTGACAGATGGTTTATTGCGTATAGCTGATAATAATCCATACACTGGAAGGATAGAGGTCTTTTTTAATGATCACTGGGGCACAATTTGTGACAATGGGTGGAACATCGACGCCGGCCGAGTGGCCTGTAAGCAACTTGGCTTCGACAGGGTTTCCCAAGTCTTTAGCGGAGCCAGTCATGGCCAAGGAACCGGTCCAGTATGGATAAATGCGTTGAATTGCTTTGGAAATGAGTCGTCAATTTCCAGTTGTGGACACAGTGGTTGGGGTAACCATCAAAACTGCACTCATAGTCAAGATGCCGGTGTAACTTGTTCGTATGACTCTCTTCCAATTCGTTTGGCGGATGGTGGAGCGAGCTACGGTCGTGTTGAAGTGTTTGACGGTGGGGTCTGGGGAACAATTTGCGATGATACATGGGATATAAATGATGCAAATGTGGCTTGTAAACAGCTTGGCTTCACTGGAGCTTCCTCTGCAAGCACTAGTGCAGAACATGGTCAGGGATCAGGTCCTATATGGAGAGATCACATGAACTGCGTTGGATCAGAGAGCTCGTTATTCGAGTGTCCATTCACCCAGGAAGGATTTAACCACTGCCATCACGGCGAAGACTCAGGCGTGGTTTGTTACTGATAGATGGGAAACTTGAACTTGTTTAACGCACCTTTGCTTGAACACGAACTAGGAACAGACATGAGAACCCAGCGTTCAGTTAATTCACACAAGAAAGTTTCCTAACCAAGTCTCATCACATAAATTAGTATACTGTAACACTGTTTTCTTTTTCGGGTTCGCCCGTCAATTTTAGACTAACCTCTTCCAAGCCGTGACTTGAAAATATAGTGAAAGATAGTTACTGATTAACTATCTTGTGTTTTCATGGTGTGCCTCTTAAAGCAACTCTTTAAAACCATAAATTCCCATGAAGCTGCCATTGTAAAGTGTTGTCGTAATTTCATGTAAATGATACTATTATTGTTACGGTTGGTTTTGCATTGTTTTTTTTATGTTCCGTTTTTCCTCCGTGTTTTACTAAATGAAAGTAGTATTATGTATCGTATTAAATCCTTTTGATAATAACCATTAATTCGTCAAATTCCGGTTTAGAATAAATAAAGAATAAAAGCAGTACCTTTAAACTATTGTAGCGTCCATCAATGTAAATGTGCAAATTTTGCTACAACCCGAGATAACAAAAAAGGAAAACGTTTCTTCACATTGTTGCCAGATAGGCCAAAAAAAAAGCAAATACGCTGAATTTTGTTCCTCGTGTTCCTGTATTACTGCCTTTATTACAGATATATCCTTGTCGCCAAATTAGATGCACTAGCTTGCCTAGTAAAATAAGTAGTGTTCATAAACAAAGGGCTGTTAATGGAGACATGAAATTAAAGCGCTTTACGACATCATCTCAGGCAGCACACCATTCCAGATTTTTTCTTCGTCACCATCAGAGCTCGAACCGCAACACTCGCTCTGGTGTTCATCATCGGTAATGTTAAGATCTCCATATTCATTGTCGTTGTTAGAGTATGCTGCCTCGAATTCTGATAAGTGGCTATCACAGGACGAATGCTCTTATTTCAGTGCCTTTAGGCAAAACCTAAAGCAGCCTTAACAATTCAATTTAGCTTTAGGCGTCTTTAATTGTCAACTGAAATATCCAAAAGCTAACAGTTACCTTTCATGAATCTTTACTTGAACATAAGGTGAACTTTAATAACGTAAATCTTTTAGCATCCTTTAAGTGGTCTCTTTTTTGGCACAAAAGGGGGTTTTTAAGTAATATACATTAATTTAACTTAACGGTGAGAATTGAAAGAGTCTCGCTGTTTTGACATCTTTGATTGACGCACTAAAGTTTCTTTATTTTAGTCATATTTTGTTCAACGTGCAACAGCAAACTTTGTCGTGCTCAGAATTCTTTCTGAGGTCGAAACATCTGTATTGAAAGCGACGGTTTTAATTTTTGCATCTCCTTTAAAGAGCGCATTCAGTGCAATGACAAGAAAGCATGTTTTCTGCGAGTGACCTTTCTGCGCTTACTTTTAATGACTTCGTATTACGCTCAACTTTCGAAAGGCCTGGGCGGAAACGTGACAGGAAGAACGTAACTGCTATTCAAAAGACAGGAAGTTTTCAGAAAGGACAATCCATGTTTCAGCTCTCAATAAAGTACTCTTACGGGTTAGGTAACGAAAAAAACCAACAAACAAACTGATTATACGGCAATATCAAACAACAACCAAAAATCATTAGTAGATAGCATAGCTTTTGCAAAAGTGTCCTGTTTGTTTACTACAAGCTTGTTTTTTTAACATCTTGGTCAGTTTATGCCACTCGGCCAATGAGAACAACGAGAAAACCGCTGCTCAACTACTCAGGACGTGCTCGCGTTTGAATGGACCAGCGCGCTCTAACTGATCATGAACGAACTGAACTAGCGTGAAGTAGGCTGAGAATCAGAAGGTTTTGTAAATAGGTTTTGACTAAAGCATTTTTTTGAATCAGAAGGTTATGTAAATAAGTTTTGCATTGAAAATATTTTGTGAATCAGAAGGTTTTGTAAATAGGTTTTGACTAAAACATTTTTTTGAATCAGAAGGTTTTGTAAATAAGTTTTGCATTGAAAATATTTTGTGAATCAGAGGGTTTTGTAAAAAGGTTTTCCACTAAAATATTTTGCACTTGTAAATATTTATAAAAGTACGTATTGTAATTAAAATGTTGTTAAAGTTATACTTGTTATATTTTATTTCTGACTCGTTTTGAAGGCTGGAAAACAAACTCTAATTGTTTCTGAAAAATGTTAACTCGTTAATTCACATCGTAACGCATTTTTCAAGTAAAATTTTGAGTTATACATTTTTGGAACACATTTGGAAGCCATCGGAGTTTGTTATTCAACAGTTTTAAATTACCGCGATGTTAGTGCTCACACGCCGCCTTTTTCTGGATCTGTCAAAAATATGCAAATTGTTTGGAAGTCAGCCAAGCGAAACTAGCATTAACTTAAAATTGTTCTGACCCAAGTATCAGCATTACATCCGAAGTATCAGTAAGCACCCTTTTTACTAAGCTATTACTAAGTTATTACTAGATATTTGGCGTTGGCGAAGTGACCAGTAGGACGTTGGCCAAACGACTTATCGCGTTGGCGAAGCAAACAAGGATGTTGGCGAAATCACTCGTTGGCGAAATCACCGCAATTCATAATAACTTATATATATGTTACTCTTCCATATTCAAGGTAACTAACCTTCATCGTCAGATGAACTTGAAATTTTGTGAAAGAAATCACGGCAATTTGAAGTCGCCCCGAACGTATCTGTTGAGTTAGTCTTGTTACGTTTTCGTTCATGCCTTTCGAAAGTTGAACGTGATACGAAGTTATTACAATGGGCGCAGTAAATATATCCTTTCTTGTCATTGCGCTCCATGCGTTCTTTAAAGGAGATGCGAAAATGATAACCCGTCGCCATCAATTCAGATATTTCGACAAAATTTGCTGCTGCACATTGGAAAAAATTGCTATTCCTGGACAACGCAAGTGTTGGCTAATTTGTAATGCATTTCCTATTCACAATTCAGATTACAATAAGACTATATTTGGCGCGTCGATTAAAGATGCCAAAACAGCGAGACTCATTTAATTCTCACCTTAAAGTTAAATTAAATGTATATTAATTAAAAACTCCCTTTTATGCCAAAAAAGAGACCACTTTAAGGATGCTAAAAGATTTGCGTTATTAAACTCCAACTTGTGTTCAATTAAAGATTCATGAAAGGTAACTGTTAGCTTTTGGACATTTCGGTTTACAATTAAAGAAGCCCAAAGCTGAAGTCAACCGTTAAGGATGCTTTAGGTTTTGCTTAAAGGCACCGAAATAAGAGCATTCGTCCTCTGTTTCCATAAGATTTCTTGTATACAGGCACTGATTTACTGCAAGTTTCTGTTGGTCCTAAGCGATCCATTGGAAAAGTGTATGTACGGTATTTGTTTCGCTTACAGTTGTAGGAGTGCTCTATACTCAGTCTAATGCATTCAGTCATCAATAATCTATACTGCTTACCTGAGCTGAACGCCACTAAGGTAATTAAAACCACAGGGAGAAATAAAATGCAGTGACCCATAGCTGTGCGGTTGTGAGTTGAAACCAAATTTCCCTTTTAGAAGGCGCTTTCTTGTATCTTGTCTGTCGAAAGAGAACGAATGCAACAGGCTTGTGAACGTCGCGGTTTTACCCGCACCTGATCTTGTTACGTCAAGACTCCATGACCAGCTTTGTAGCAGCATGCACAGCCAGCTAATTTCCTCATTTTTTTTCCCACGCAAAGCTCAAGATCAAATGGGGTAAACTTGCACAAGCCTGTTGCAAACATGCACAGGCCTGTTACATTCTTTCTCTTACGACAGACAAGATACAAGAAGCGCTGTCTAAAAGGAAAATTTTCTTTCAACTCTCAACCGCACAACTATGGGTCATCAAATTTTCTTTTTCTATGTGACTTTTATTACTCTAGTGGCTTTCAGCTCAGGTAAGCAGTTATACATTAGTGATGACTGAATTAATGGTATTGAGCACAGAGCACTCCTACGGCCGAAAGCGAAACGAATACCGTACTTTCAGTTTTTCAATGAATCGCTGAGGGCCAATAGAAACTTGCAGCAAATCGATGTCTGCATAAAAGAGTTCTTAAGGATAGAGGCGTTGTCAGAAATTCAATATTTCATTTTCTTATCAAAGGAGATAAGCGCAGAATTCATTATTGAACAAAAATTATAACCTACGCGTTTCGAGATATCGAGGCTAGTGTTAATATGTTGAGATTCTACATTGGAGAAAAAACCAAAATGTAATTCACAACAAATGTTAGCGTAATGTAACTTACTCGTTACGAAATTTCAGATTTTTTCAACCTAAGACTGGCCTAGCTCACCTTAGAGTCTCTGTTTGTCTGTGATTGAGCTTCACAACGCGTAATCCAAAGGTCTGAGGTTCGATTTCTTACAGGCACTCTTATTTCGTCCTTACGTTCGTTACATGGCGAAAAAAACGAACCACTGTATGTTTCTCATTGTCAATACACCTCTATGGAGAAATCAAGCGATAAAGGGATATAATATTAAAGGCGCCTTACGAGTCTGTAAATTTCTCTTTGTTGATTGCGTCATGGTTGGTTCATTGTAAGTATTGATCGTAGAAAATGTTCAATATGTTTCAATGAGTAGTGAGTTATTAAAAAAAAATCGCCAAGTTACGCATTAAAATTGTTCAGTATTTTGAGCTTTTGGCAACTGTTTCGACCTTTGCATGACTATAACATATTGCGGGTTCTGTCAGTGATATCATAAAGACTATGGTCTCAACAAATATAATGTTAGGTTGACCGAGCATAATGATCGATTATAGATGCAATTAGTTGAGTTATTTTTTCGCATTACGCGTTCGTTTCACAGGGAATGTTTGCTAATAAATTGTGAAGTGGTATCCTTGCGGCGAAAAGTATGATGAATTTAGATATGAGGTGAGACTATCTCGCCGTCACTGTCCGTACAGCAGATAATTTAGAGCGGGTTGGATGAGGACAAAGTCAAAACCCTCAGCTCGCGAGGGTATCTTCGTTTTTGAATTGAATTAATGTTTTTCGATCCCTTTTGTTTTGCCTCGCTCTGTTACAATCGTTTCCTTCCTGTTATAAACCACTAAAGCTATACAAAGACTTGTATTCGACGCCTCTTATTCGAGTTTTTTCGATTCATTTCTCGTGACGAGCATATCTGAATCGCATAACTTAACGCAAATAATAAACTCGAATGTTGTTTTGACAGTTTGAAATTTTTTTTCTGTCCTTTCAATGCAACCATTTATACTAAGCGACGTGGATTACTTGTTCTTCGTATCTAACAACTCTACAACGACGCGTAAGACAATAAAAGTAATCTCCAAACAAGATATGACTCCAAGAGATTAAATCTCTTGATTACTCGTTTGTGAAAAGTGAGCTTTTTTCCCTTAGAATTTTTGCGGAATAAGCACTGGACTGAATCAAATTGATCTGGCTCAGTGACAGCCAGAAATGAAACTGCCGTTTTCTCTGCTCGTAAATTCACTTTGACCAGTCATAACATCGTCAGGAAACTGGAAGGTCTTTCTTTTATTTTACCATAAACATGAACTCTTTTCATCTGATGAAGAGTAAAATGGCACTATGAAGGTTCAGTTTGTTAGCGACTTGCTATATGGACGAAAACAATAATATTATGCGTAACGTAGATTGATTATCGATCGAAATGACCCTCTTGTGCAAAAAACCTCTATCGTGCAGGATCATGCGGTGAGAAGCTGAATTGAATGAAACAGTTATTATGTTATTTCTTTTGTCAAAGCGGTGATTTATTAAGAGAATTTCTAGAACATATTTCCCTTCTACTTAAGCCATTAATTTTGTTCCAGCAAGCAGCTAATTGATTTGAAATCAATTCACAGTCCCTGGATCTCTGAGGATGATTGAAAACATACGAGTAATTTAAAAACACTGGAGGACCACGTGAAAGATTGAGCCATTGAGAAAATGAGCCAAAATTTAAAGAAACGACAGTGAAGTACTTCGCATTAAGACACGACTGGTCGATATCAGTGTATACACGCGAGAACCATGAATTAATAAATTAAGACGCCAGAATCGTATGGGCTTCTCTAATATCTTCTCTTGAAGTTCCCAGGTATGACTGCTTGCCCCACCGTTTTTCCCAAACTTTTCAACCTCCTCTATTTAGCGTCAAAAATTAAAAAGAAAAGGAAATTTAATCAACTCGTGTTTGAACCTATAAAAATTTCTAAAACTTTTCTCTTTCGGCTATTATTGTTTCACGATTGTCCTCTGCCTGGAGATACACGGCGTATTTTTGAGATTTTTTCTTTGATTTGATTCGGTAGCCTCTGCTGTAACTACGTATCATGTAGGTGTCTTAAACCAACTGTCCATGACCTTAGCAACTCTAGCCAATGAAATACGAAATTTGTCTAACATGCTTCTCGATCTTGTGCTGCGAAAGTTTGCTTTAAAATAAGGCAAGCTTTAACAAGAATGTCATAAGTAAAACTTGATGACGAAGAGAGACTTAGGATTCGATCGTGAAGACACTTATAGAAAACTTGAGATAATGCCTGGATTTCATTTTTACATCAGAGAAATCAATTCCAAACATCAATTAAGTTTTCTCCTTAGTTTTAAAATCGAGGTGATGTTGTTATTGGCTACATTATAAATGGGTTGAAAAGTTTTAGATGGAATTTTCTCATGTTTGCAAATAGTTGAACTTACTGGAAGGTAGAGTTGTCGCATCATGTTAAGACGAAGGACAACAATAAATTTTATTTATATGTAAAACGTTTTCATTTGACTATCTACTGGCAAGTCTTTGTATTATATTTCGACCCAACCATTTTCAACAACTTGTAAACACCATAATAAAGAATAATTAGTCAGGGAAGAGGAACATTTGTGGCATATACACCACGTTTGAAATGCCATATCCATAATAAGCTAACAGGATTGAGGAGGGTTTATGTGGGAATCGCCCCTGCTGCCAAAATTCTGATGAGGTTGGGCTGTCTAGGTAAAGGAACTGAAGATTTTAGTACGCCGTGACTTTTTCAACCCTGAAAAGTATCATCGTAAAAGCCATACTTGTGCCTCGTAAAACATTGTTATTCTGATAACTAGTTTAAAGAAGGATACAACATTTTACCGCAAAAATTTTTTGCATAGGCTGTGCACAAAAGTTTAATTTTAATATACTTTTATAACCAATACCGATTCCTACATAATGAAATGTTAATAGGATCAGAAGAAATAATAGTGTGCCATACATCTGTAAGATTTCATGCAATTATTTTAATTACATGAATATTAACTGATACTAGGAGACCTAAGAATATTCGAAAGAAAGTGAAATTTGTGTGAAAAATTAGAACTCAGCACAGGCCAAATAAACAAGATTCTTACAAAAAGAAATGTGTACTGATGAAAACGCTACGCAACCTTTTTACAACACCTGCCTGTACCCGTATGGGACATAGTAAAGTCATTTGAAGTAGCCATAATTCTGGTTTTTTATGTTTAAAACATATACTTATGTAGATTTCCTATAAACCTGTAGTTCAAGCCTGTCATGACTTCAAAATTTTAATGCACACCTCAAAAGGAGAAGAAATAAATTTCAAGTTTCGATTTATTCAGTTTAGGTTAGTGAAGTAAAATTGAGTAAAACATTCATTCAACGACAGGTTCAAGAAATTTTCAAAACTAATTTATAAGGTTAGCCTACCTGGAACAATCATCTTCATGTACAAATTAGACCATTTAAAAAGAAAAACTGAGGTTATCATCTTTCCACAAGCTTAGTGGAAAGCAAGAATGAGCGAGACTGATAGTGACTATGTTATTTGCGTAAATATCCAGAGAAGGAAAAAAGGGAATGGTCTGCACAACTCTCTCATTTTAATTTTATAAACTGTTAAAACAGCTTTAAAAAATTCTGTATCCTCACTTTCAAAGAAAAGTATTTCCCATGAAAATTTAAATATTGAAGACGTAAGCTACCAGCAACAGGTTTTTCCATTGTAACTGTTCCATAAGATCACATTCTCACCACATTTTTTTGTTACATTTGAAACCATAAGTATATTTTAATCATTACGGTATAGTGAAATCCCCATTTTAACCCTCTTAGTCCCACTAGTGACTAGGACAGAATTTCTCCTAACACTATCAATAGAATATTAAGCATACAAGTAATGAGAATAAAGTAAAATACCAATTAGGGGATTACTGGTTGATTTAATTCCAAATTCTCCAAACTAACATCACATGAATTGCATGGCCATAGCCATCAGAAATGCTAACACCAAAGCCATGGAATACGCAACTTTCGGTTTTTCTTTTATTGTATTGGTTTTCTTCCCCTTCTGGGAAGGTTTGAACCTCATTGCCTGAGGGCGATACGGATTTTTTAGTGTTTTAGCTGCCATAATTCGAGAAAACTCCTACAAACAAATTTTAGTAAGAATCGTGAATGCTTCGCTGTTCATTCATCAACTTGACCGAGTTGCACCAAAGGCGATTGACGTGTAAGCAGCTGATTGGCTATATCAACAACCGTAAAAAAATGCGATATTTTTTCACGTGTGTTGTTACGGCTTTTCTCAGGGCCGGAAATCCTTGTATAGCACCGCAGTTTATGTGATAAATATGATTATTGCCCTGAGAAAAGCCGTAACAACACACGTGAAAAGATATCGTATATCAAGTTCAGTGCCTCCAAAGTCATAAGCCGGGTTTTGGGGCTACAAAATAAAAAATTGAGTCAACGAGTTACGCCAGGCCAATTTGTTGAGAGTCATTCAAGTATAGTTTCCAAAAATCATATGGAAAGTTTAAAATGTACTTCATTTGTGCTACATATACGAATTCAACGTTCCTAATTACTGATGGAATTCCGAGGGTGTGACTCAATTAATTCAAAATGGTTCGCGAATTGTAAACTGATGATGCGATCACAAAACTTCCCGAAATTATTGTACCGTTACAAATTTATCGTTCATAATCACCAATTCCGAGATCGTACCTCAATGAGTTCAACAGAGAACATCTTAGAATTGGAAAACTGTGACCAAAAATTACTTACGATGACTATGTGCTTACCAGCGTGCTTGTGGGCTGAACTGCCAGGACTCTGTTTAATTACACGATCACTAAGCTCGGACGCTTCTTGCGATGAATATTAATTTAATAGATTGATCATTCAGTTTCAAGCATTAAGAGTAAAATTATCGTATCGCAAGCACGTTCATCATAACCCAAGCATTAAGTACGCCTCGAGATGTTGAGCAAAGAGAAAGTGGCTCCATGTTTTATGATACAAACCATTTCCTGAAGTTCGAACTAATCGAGCAGAAAGCATAAAAACATAACACTGAAAAGGTACCACGACCAAACAATGGAATTCACTCATTCCGCACGACTAACTCCAGTTTGCCCGTGAGTTCGTTTACATCACACGTTTGCTTGACGGTTCTCATATAACAATATTGTCAAAATCAAATTACCGCGTCAGACTTAAAGTAAACACGAACAGCGTTGACTCACTTTCATTTTCTGGAAAGGCCATCGCTTCGCTTTCAGGATAAGGCAACACATTTCGACAAAGCGCGCTTTTTTTTTTTAAAGAATAGAGTAAATCCTGCTATAGTTAACTGAAGAGAGAAAGAGGTAGAAAGTTTCCACCGTTCCCTATCATTTGAAAACTTTCTAGGGAAAATAAAATCCGTAGGATAACTTCTTTTCCCTTAACACCACGATTGTATTAAACATTCCAAACGATAGAGCGAGAAACAACTTGAAGAATACGAACACTATGTAATGTTTTTCGAGCGATTAACCGGCTCGAGGGCTTTTACGCGATGAATGCCAAAGTCAATGTTTTACCGAAACGCGATTTGAGTTGTGTATAAACTGAAGCTAATATCAAACGACAATTGGTAAAAAAAAAAAAAAGGTTTGAGTTTTTCTGGGCTGTTGTGCAAAACCCAGATAAGGCTCGACTTACTTCCTCTTCCTTTTCGGATCCTTCGTAGGTCGTTTCTCTTTGTTGATAACTTCTTTTTTGTCTGTCTGCTGGAGCGTCTTTGTGGTTCCTTCTCGTGTTGCTCTTAACAAGATATTCGCCTTCTTACATATGCCTTTTCTTGTTCCCTTTTGCGTTCCCCTCGCCGTATTCTGCCTATTTTGGCGTCCTTTCTAGCTCTCTTGTGCATTTTTCTCGACTCGCTTTACGCCTTTTACTTCTTGCTTTCTAAGGTCGCTCTTTGTCTTTCTTTTCAGCCTATTTTGACTCAAAATCTTCTCTCCACGAACTTGAATGATGACAATTTCCGAGTTGATTATAAATTGCAAGATACTGAGAGTTACTATTCAACTAAAACCTAACTAGTTTGATTTCCTGCTCAAAACGCGGATTGCAAATTATTTGCTTACGCAGCTTCGCATCTACTAGCAACTCTAGAGCTTAGCACTCGAGTATGCGCACTTCATTGTTATTTGCCGGTGTCTCTTAGCGCACACTAATGAGGTATCCAAGTTACGCACACAATCGCGCCTGCGCATTACCTTCTCTCTCCGCCCTTCCATTACGTAATAGCTAAGATAGTGCCCGCGGTACAATTGGCCGCGCATGCTAAAAGTAGCACCTTTTAATTTACAAGGTGCTACTTATGACCCGAACGGTCATAAGTCCAAATTTTTTCGGCTTGATGGGTTACTACTAGTTTGTATAATGGTGGGGCTACGCTGCGCGTGCTGCGAGCTCCGCTATGATACGAATGATTTTAAAAGTTCTAATATTAAAATACAAAGTGAAAACTGTATTACCCTTAATTTGATAGGCGCTGAGCTTCAGGTTACAGTAAAAGTTTACGAGAGATTCTTACTGGCATGCCCTTCATTCAGCGATCGAGGAAATGTGCGAGAAATCAAGTGGTATCGCTGCTCTCCCAGGAACAATGATTGCGACAACGAATGGATGAATTTCCTGATAGCGTATGTCGACAGTATGAATGAAACAGAAGCCGATAAACCAAACTTTGATGTTTACGAAAACGGAACCTTAGTTATTAAGATGGTACAACCCACGGATGATGGAGTAATGTTTATCTGTTCCGCCGAAAAGTATTATGCAAGGAGAATACCGATCACCACGGTCCTCAATATTGCCCAAGGTGATGCTTATATATGTGTTTAATGATGATGATAATAGCAATAATAATAGTAATAATAATAATAATAATAATAATAATAATCTATTCTTCATGGTAATAACAGTGGGAACTTAAGTGGGCAATCCACATGGTGGCTTTTCTTCTCCGTGGTTTCCAGGTCGAAATGCAATTTGGAATGTTGTTTTAATGGGGAGAAGGCTAATTGAAGAACCCTATGGAAAAAAAAAAAAAAAAAACAGGGGCAGGGAGGGACCGTTTATTGAGGGTCTCGTTAAGTTAACGTGCCCTTAAAATGTACCGTTCTGAGCCGCTTCTCTGTTCTTTAAATATTGATATTAAAATGTGGCTTTTTGGCCTCAAACTTTGCCGGACCTTCTTGAAACAGGCGCCACGTCCAGAAAGTGAATACGAGCCACAGCGATGGGAGGCGAGCGCTCTCACCACTGCTCATGCACCACCACCCCCCCCTTCGCTCCTCGCTTTCGTTTATATAATCGCATCACTTTGGATGCTGTTTCTTTGCATTTTTGATTTTCTTCTTTTTCAGCTAAATGAATAATTTTAATTTTTTTAGACCCCCCAAAATTAATACCAGAGTGTCCTCGATCGATTCATGTCATTAAAGGAATGGATCTTCATATGGATGCGCTAGTACAGAGCTATCCTTACCCCTGGGTAACTTGGAGCCATAATGGGAGACTCTTAGAGAATACATCGAATGTCGCTTCAGAAACAAGGCTTAAAATTTGCAACGTCACTGCAAATCAAGATGGACGTTACTCCTGTTACGCCGAGAATATTTTTGGACATGATATCTTCACCGTAGACGTTAAGGTTCAAGGTATTGATTTTATTCGTAGTTAGGCTAGCTTCGTAAGAGTAGATGTAGCCTGTAAGGAAAGAGAAACACAGAAATTTTGCTGTTTTTGGTCTATTACTTTTTTTATTGTTATTCGTGTTGTTTGTTACTTTTCTTTTTTGATTTGTTTTGCTTGTTTGTTTTCCCTAATTTTCTTCTGTTTTGTTTTTAATAGTTTTATTATTTTTCTTCTATATAACCTACAATTTAAGAGGAAAGCTGCACACCTACTCAGACGCTTCCGTGTGGAATTAAGAAGGTGACGACGAGCCCAGCATTAGGTAAGTCTTCCTGCTCATTAACCTTTCCAGATGACCCAAATGTACTGACCAAGGTTCCGAGAACCCCTCAAGTTCCATGTTTGTAAACCAGCATCCGGATATGTTTCTTTTCTCCCTCGAGTGTGTCCCAAGTATTGATCACAAAACGTCATGACGGGGAAATATGAAGTGACTACACATTAACCTGACTTATATAGGATTGCATTAATTGTGACGATAGGTTTTCGCGCACTCTAACTGGACTTTTCGCGGGAAGGTGCAAACGGGGGGAATTAACTGGGTAGAGACCACACGGTTAACGAGAACGGAAACTCGTCACGATTTCCTGGCACACGGATATCTACTTCGAGTGAGCTTGTGCGGACATCAAGGAAGAGACGGCGTTTTGGTTCCACAGTAGACTTTTATTCGCAGAGCGCTTTAACATAATCACGCTAGAGTCAAAACTAAAGCTGTAATCGGCACGCCGTCGTCTGTATAATCGACACGCCGTCGTGGATGTAATCGAAAAAAAACTTTGCAAAGTACTTGCTTAAATATGAACTGGTGCGAGGTTCCATTGTTACACAAATCACAATATTTGAATAAGGACACAAAGGAGAGGAAAAAAGTCTCTTTGAAGTTAAACGCAAACTACTTAAATATTCCATCTGTTTCTACGACGGAAAGAATTTCAAAATTAAAAAGACGGATGCAATAAACTCGAGGCCATTAAAAATAGGAACTTAGGTGCGAATTCACAGCTCTGATATAGAAAATAAGCAGAGCAGCTTAGGAAATAAAAACGGCAAAGCAATTAAAAGTTTCTGCTTATCTATGCAAGGTTGGTGTGGAAACCTATCGTTCGAAAAGAAATTAAAGTTACGAGTATAAACTCAGCTGCTAACTACCATGAAAACCAATTTTTCCAGAAAGACCATTAAGACTTATATTTACCTAAAATTCCACTAGTAATGATGAACAAAAGTATCGACATGCAGGTGCATAATGAAAGCGAGTTACATGCAAAATCTTTTCCAAAGCTACTGTGGTTTTTTTTTTCTTTTTTTTGATTTACTAGGATGAAAGAACTTGTATGAACTCGAACAATTGAATATGGTTAAATTTGAAAGTTTACGAATAAATATTTCAAACACACACGAAAAATCAATAAATTTTCCCGTAACATAATTTTTATCAACCTTTTTTTTTTCATAATCAAGAAGTTTCTTTATCAACATCAATTAAGTACAATTTGTTCTATTCAAATTTTCTCAATGTAAGTTTTAGAGGAAATTTCAAAATGTGTTCAAACTTATATAGGATTGCATTTATTTTTATCAATCCTTTTCTTTTCACTAACAAGAAGCTATTTACTTTGCCACTCTGTTTCTACCCTTAGATATCCAAACTCCGTCACCTTTACCAAAATCAAATGAGTACAATTTGTTCTATTTCAATTTTCTCAATGTCAGCTTAGGAGGAAATTTTAAACTGTGTCCAGACTTTTATAGGATTGTATTGATTTTTATCAATCATTTTCTCACGACCAAAATCTTTATTACTGGTATTTGTTTATCATCGAACTCAGAATGTTATCTGAAACCTACTCTGTTTAAGAATTGTCTTCTTTCTTTTCACGCCCTCATTCCCTCCACTTCTCTCCTCACTTTCCTCCATTTCGATACCCTTCCTCATCCCTATTCCTATTTATATCTTCTCCCTTTAATAGAAAAGAAAATTACAGCCGAACCTATGCTAAGCGGTCACAAACAGAGAAAGGTAGTGTGACCGCTTCATACAGGTTGACCGCTATGTAGCTTCTACAGAACAATGGTATTACGAAGAGCGATAAAAAAATGTCATTTGATGCCACGATTGACCGCTCAAAGCACAGAAACTCCCTCATAAAGTTATATTTGGTTGGTTCCATTTTAAGTGCCCGTTCAACGCAGGTGGAAAGCAGTACAAAAAGGTCGTTGAGACTCAGTAAAGAGTGATCACGACCGCTTAATAGAGGTGAACACTTTGTAGAGTTGAAATTTACAACAAATAAGAGGTAACAATTTCGGGACTTTGACAACTAACCGCTCAATACAGGGTGACTGATTATTATAAGTTCGACTGTAAGTTCCGTTGTTGGCAGGAATTAGAGTAAACCCTTCGACATTTTTTTTTTCGTCATATAAATATAACCCACAAGGCTCTCTTCCTGTAGAGCTCACTCGGCGGCAGGAAGAGAATCACCATGTACTTTGAGTTCTGATTAGGAAAATGAAGCCTAGTACAGATAGGAAACTGACGATTCTGGGACAATGCAAAACCAAGGACAAGAAAAGTGGTTAGGTCAAACTCGGAACACTTTTTTAATCTTTGGTTTTGCATTGTCCCAGAAACATTAATTTTACAGCTACTACTGAGACAAGGATGGAAATCTCATATCATAATTTTTTTGAAAGATTATGGTATATTAACTTGTCAATCTTCGGTATCAGAATGAATTTAGATAAATTCAATCATTCGACAGGATCAGCATTAATTTTGTATCTTCTTACGAAGAAATTGAGCTATGCTTTGCTTAACTCTTCTGTCATAAGAGTGTCTAAGTAAATGAGAAGAATGTGACAGTCTGAGTTTAGGCCTTCGTGAAAATAATGTCTCCCATGTTTTTTCTTCATTTCCCCATTCAAAACTATGAAAAGTTGTAGGTACTGCAGAAAATCTGATAATGTTTTTTTTCTGTTACACCAGAAAGAAGATATATTTATTGCAAAAAATCTTGTCTAGAATCTTGCTGAAGGTTCCACATTGATTAATTTATTTTCTAATCCTCTTCCAATTTAGAATAGGTTTGTGTTTTCTCCAACAATAATGGAATTTTTGTTTATAATATTTCTGATCCTCTTCCGATTTTTGCCATTATATTGGGCTATAAGCATGCTTTTGGTGACCGCTACAGTTATATTATCTTTCGTCTCAAAAATCAACAAAATATGACAAGATTCAAGTCTGAGCTAGAAAATGTAAACTGGCCGGAGTTGCCCGGTTATAATTATCCGTACGTAGTCTATAGAAGCTTCTCTGAGAAATATACCGCTATTTTAATCAATATTTTCCTTTAAAAAAAGGTTAGGGCCAAAGGCTGTACAACATCTGAACTCTGGCTTTTTTTAAAGCACTTTTAAAATCAATTCGGGAAAAGAAGGAACTATATAAGCGTTTTCTTAATAACCCAACCCCACAAGTGCTATAAGAATGAACTCAATCAGTCTTTACGAATAGCTAGAAGTCAATATTAAGCTAAGAAGATTGAAGAGGCAAAAACTGATGTAAAATGCTCTTGGAGGCTGCTCGATGAGATCCTGAACAAAAAAACTTCAAAATTGACATTGCCGTCGTTATTCAAATTTGACATCAAAGACTCATCAGATCCTGGACAAATTACAGAGCAGTTTTATGTAGACACCTCACAAATACTGGTCCCAGTCTAGCTAGGATTATTACCGCATCTCACAAATCGCACCGTCACTTTCTCTTAGGGGATTTTATTAATTCTTTTTATTTTGATGAAATTTCTTAGCATGAAGTGGTCAATATTTGTAGCACTTTGCACTCTGGGAAAGCTGCAGGCTTCGTTAATATTTCGGCAAGTCTAATGAAAGAAACAATTACTTCAATTCGCAGTTCTTTAACTCATATCTCTAATTCATCGCTAAGTTCTGGAGTTGTCCCAGTAGAGCTTAAGATTGCTCGTGTCGTACCATCGTTTAAACTGGTGGTAAGTCATTATTTTCAAATTACAGACCTATTTCTATTTTACCCTCTTTCTCTAAAATTTTAGGAAAACTCTTCTGCGATCGTATTATTGATTATTTAATTAAATATAAGATACTATTCGATGATCAATTCGGTTTTCGTAAACAGCATTTTATTGAATACACCTTAGCACTCTTATATTACAAAATTCCTTCTGTATTGATAATAATGAGATAACAGCAGGTATAATCATTGATTTGTCTCAAGCCTTTGACACTGTGAACCATCACATTTTACTTGATAAGCTTCTTCTCTTTGGTATTCGCGGTGTTGCATGTCACTGGCTTAAAGACTATCTAAACAACAGACAACATTTTACTCAGTTAATTGGATTTAATTTATCCTATTCAAATATCAAATGTGTTTTTCCTCAGGGCTCCATTCTTAGGCCTCTGCTCTTTCTAATCTACATCAATGATATGTGTGATGTCTCAAAGATTTTAGACTTCATTCTTTTTGCCAATGATACAAAGATCTCTTCCACTCCTAAAATTTGGAATTTTATCGAGGAAACCTTGAATGAAGAATTATCTAATTCAACAGACTGGTGCCGAGGCAATAAGCTTTCGATAAATATAATTAAATCAAGTGTCATAGTTTTCAAACCAAGACAGAAAAGGGAAATCTTTTACGGTCACTCGGTAGGAGGATATTATAGATGTAGGTTAGAAAATTTTGCTTTCTTGATATTATCATTTTTACTTTTTTTAGAGACCCAAAGACCCTCGACTTCACCTACCCCAAGTAAGTATACCCCTGTTTCTTTTCTTTTCTTTAAATGAATCGTTCCACTTTTTTTAGTCTATTAGTCTGGCATGCTACAACAACAACCAAAATATTCCAGATCTCATGAGCCCGCGATCACCTCACCCCAAGGTTTAAACACCGTTTTCACTTGGCAAGGATCACTACTTAAGCTTTGAAAAGGTTCTTTTTGTTGGTGATCGTGTTTTTTTGCTAGCCATATGGCAATAAGACATCTTTTCTAAAGTTACATGAACAGAAATAGTGGTGTAATTGTTCTCTTTGTTCGCATGTTTTCTTATTTTATCTTTTTTCTTCTGTATGTTGTTTGTTGAAGAGGATATTCTCGGTCTATGTGAAACTTTTTTATTTTTTTTTGCGTTGCATGGTTCTTGGATAACTTCTTTGTTATATTTATATGTAGGTGACGCTCTGAGTAACGATGGGTATTTCCACTTTTTTCTGTTTTAAATCCCTATGGACATCTGTCTATAATTCGCGCACTAAGCTCCTTAAGCTTAATCTCGTTAGGGGTTTTGTTTTGTTTTGTTTTTGTTTTGTTTGTTTGTTTGTTTGTTTTTTTTTACAGTAATCAGTAGGAGGATATTATAGAAGAAGGTTAGAAAATTTTACTTTCTTAATATTATTATTTTTATTTCTTTTAGAGACCCCAAGACCCTTAGCTTCACCTCCCCTAAGTGAGTATACATCTGTTCCTTTTCTTTTCTTTAAATGAATCGTTCCACTTTTTTTAGGCTATTAGTCTGGCATGCTACAGCAACAACCAAAATATTCCAGACCTTTTGAGCCCGCAATCACCTCACCCCCAGGTATATAAACACCGTTGTCACTTAGCGAGGATCACTACTTAAGCTTTCAAAGGGTTCTTTATTGGTTATCTTGGTTTTCTTTGTTAGCTAAGATGCATTAAGACATCATTTCTGAAGGTACATGGCCAGAAATAGTGGTGTTGTTGTTCTCTTTGTTTGCGTGTTTTCTTATTTTATCTTTTTTCTTCTGTTGTTTGTTAAATTGGATATTCTCGGTCTGTGTGAAACTTTTTTATTTTTTTGCGTTGCATGGTTCTTGGATACCTTCTTTGTCATAGTCATATGTAGTTAAAATGTTAAACACCGTTTTTACTTAGCGAGGATCACTACTTAAGCTTTGAAAAGGTTCTTTTTGTTGGTGATCGTGTGTTTTTTGCTAGCCATATGGCAATAAGACATCTTTTCTAAAGTTACATAAACAGAAATAGTGGTGTAATTGTTCTCTTTGTTCGCATGTTTTCTTATTTTATCTTTTTTCTTCTGTATGTTGTTTGTTGAATAAGATATTCTCGGTCTATGTGAAACTTTTTAATTTTTTTTGCGTTGCATGGTTCTTGGATAACTTCTTTGTCATATTTATATGTAGGTGACGCTCTGAGTAACGATGGGTATTTCCACTTTTTTCTGTTTTAAATCCCTATGGACATCTGTCTATAATTCGCGCACTAAGCTCCTTAAGCTTTATTTAGGTAGGAGTTTTGTGTGTTTGTTTTGTGTTTTTTATTTGTTTGGTTTATTTTTACAGTCACTCAGCAGGAGGATATTATAGACGTAGGTTAGAAAATTTTACTTTCTTGATATTATCATTTTTACTTTTTTTAGAGACCCAAAGACCCACAGCTTCATCTTCCCAGAGTAAGTATACCTCTGTTCCTTTTCTTTTCTTTAAATTAATCGTTCCACTTTTTTAGTCTATTAGTCTGACATGTTACAGCAACAACCAAAATATTCCATGAGCCCGCGATCACCTCACCCCATGGTTTTAACACCGTTGTCACTTAGCGAGGATCACTACTTAAGCTTTCAAAGGGTTCTTTTTGTTGGTGATCGTGTTTTGTGCTAGCCATATGGCAATAGGACATCTTTTCTAAAGTTACATGAACAGAAATAGTGGTGTAATTGTTCTCTTTGTTCGCATGTTTTCTTATTTTATATCTTTTTTTCTGTATGTTGTTTGTTGAATAGGATATTCTCGGTCTAGGTGAAACTTTTTTATTTTTTTTGCGTTGCATGGTTCTTGGATAACTTCTTTGTCATATTTATATGTAGGTGACGCTCTGAGTAACGATGGGTATTTCCACTTTTTTCTGTTTTAAATCCCTATGGACATCTGTCTATAATTCGCGCACTAAGCTCCTTAAGCTTAATCTCGTTAGGGGTTCTGTTTTGTTTTGTTTTTGTTTTGTTCGTTTGTTCGTTTGTTTTTTACAGTAATCAGTAGAAGGATATTATAGACGAAGGTTAAAAAATCTTACTTTCTAATATTATGATCTTTACTTTTTTTTAGAGACCCAAAAACCCTCAGCTTCACCTCCCCTAAGTAAGTACACATCTGTTCCTTTTCTTTTCTTTAAATGAATCGTTCCACTTTTTTTAGGCTATTAGTCTAGCATGTTACAGCAATAACCTAAATATTCCAGACCTTTTGAGCCCGCAATCACCTCACCCCCAGGTATATAAACACCGTTGTCACTTAGCGAGGATCACTACTTAAGCTTTCAAAGGGTTCTTTATTGGTTATCTTGGTTTTTTTTGTTAGCTAAGAGGCAATAAGACATCTTTTCTGAAGGTACATGGCCAGAAAGAGTGGTGTTATTGTTTTCTTTGTTTCTATGTTAGCTTTTTTATCTTGAAGAAAAGAAAAAAGGCGAAAACTCGATCGAAATCTTTACAAATTTAACCAGTATTACTGATATCAGATGTTTCAGCTGCTTTGGTTTTCTATTCAACTGGTCATGTTTCAGCAATATCACTTTTTTCTTCCCTGTGATACCCTTGTAGATTAAATTGAGGTTAATTAATTCTTGAAAAATGGAAAATAGGGCCATAGCGATTTATGTAACAGATACTTAACTATGGGAAAAAACTTTCCCGATAAAATCCCACACAAGTAGAACACACATGTTCCTTCCCTATTAATTCACACGAAACATTTAGCCACAATAAAATGTCAGCCATTCAATATGCTTTGCACTGGGTGGTTTCTGTGATCCACAATATTACATAGTGCATGTACTTTGTATAATAGCTAATAATAATAAAAAGTAATTGTTCATTCTTAGGAAAGGAAGATGGGAAAGTCCTCAACTGGTTAACCTTGATTTTTGTTGTATTGCTGGTAATTGCTCATGGATTCACTATTGGTCTGCTTTATTTTCTGCTTTCGAAAATCAAGAGCATCCAAGATCGTGTCAATGGATTCGAAAGTCCTGTTTTGTATAAAAATGTCGTTGGCAATCAAGATGTCCTAGAACTAAATGGAGGGGACGAACAGGGAAAATGATGTACTGAAATCTAAACATTTGTTTTTCCACTAGTATGCCAATTTACCATATTAAGGCAATGGAACGCGCAAAAAATGTCACGGTATTTGTAACTACAGTCCGGCTAGGTATTACTGTATATAAAATTAGATATTAGTGACGTTTTCAAGTCATATTTCTGAACCTCGTACTTTGTGGCTGTATTACGTTGTTGTGTCGCGAATCGAACGTCTTCAAAGTCGTCACTATTCTGCGAATTTCCCTACGTCAAGTTCCAATTGTTCCCAGGCGCACAGAGATGACAATCGGTAAGCATGGCTTTGTATTCTTTCAGTTTCATTTCGTTTAAGTTTTACCTTGATTATCGTTAGTTTTAACTTGCCTTTGTGTATTTTTTGTAATGCAACTATTGCTCGCGGCCTTGGTAATTCCGTGTCGCTTAAATTAGCCTTTTGTTTGTAGTTTAGTTTAAAATTATCGAACACGAGTAGAGTAAATCATATCGGATCGCTCGTCTGTTGATTAGTGCGTTGATATCAGTTCAACGTCCCTCCAACCTTTGCGACGTTTAGAGTTTAGTTCCGGTATTACACTGTAGAACAGGGCAACAATACGAACAAAAACGGTCCGCTCGATCTTTAATTTCCCTGTCAGTTTTTTAGACATGATTTTCTCATCAACAAGCTTCGAAACCCACGAGAATTTTTTTCATGCCATCAGGAACACATAAATGGTTTCTTTGGTGTTGTGTTATTATTTCGCGTGTTCCTTGTGCGATCAGTACGATGTTCAGATTAAACCATACGGAGTTTTGAAACCTAGAAGCCAAAAGACATCCTTTCTTCGATGGTTAAACAAATAATGCGAGCTGACAATTTGCTCATTGCTCGTATTTTTCCTCGCTGCGCGTATTATATGTTAAACCATTCATGAGGTGTATGTATTGACCGTGCACATTATCAGGAAGGGCAGTTTTGTCATGTTGTTTGTACCCCGGTTAAACAGGGCGGACAAGTGCACTTTGTATTCAATACATTTTTTGTGCCCTAGAGTAGGCTTTACATCAAAATATCACAGTTATACAAACGTGTGCTTTTCACTACCCTTCCAATGTAGCTGGAAGGAAAATTTAAGTAATTGATCATGTTAAATTAAAATATCCTACTACGTAGTCCTCATTACTTTTATTGTGGTAGTCGCCGACTTGGAAGCTTTTGCTCCCTTGGTCACTAATCACTTTGCTCTTACGGGGGCTTAGCCAGGGTTTTTGAAGGGAAGGGGAGGTCACATTGTGTCAAACAGAGGATTCTCACCTATTTTCGCCACCTGAAAATTAATGTTTGTTTGCTCAAAAAAAGCTTACGAAGGGGGGTCACGGACATCCAAGAAACCCCCCCTCCCCCAGCTATGCCCCTGTTTTATTAAGGTAATTTGATATTTGTTACTTTGTATTTTTCTTTATTTCTTTATGTTAAATAATTGAAATTTATTTTGCTAAAGTAAGTGTAATTAAATAAAATTTACTACTGTCAGGGTAAGTGTGCAGTGCAATACCTACTTGAGAAAAGGGTTAAGGAAACAAACAAACAAACAAAAAATACTGATAAAAATGACCCACCTTGCACTTGAGAGTCTTTATTATGAATCTTACTGCCAGTTAATTTACGACCGGAGGTGGAATAGCAAGCTGGGATCCGGATGACCAATCAAAATATAAAAGTACAGAGCTCCATTTATCCCACAATACTGATGCCGAATCCTCATAAATTCTTATCTCATTCTCCTCTTTTCGTGACGAGTCGCAAGAAGGGCTTCGGAATAGAGAAAAATAAATCTCAAAATAGACATTAAAACTTCAAATTCTAGCGAGAGCTGGGTTACCGAAGTCCAAAAAATAGTTTATGCACTGTTCCTTAGTATGCAGAACGACCCCTTCCAGCCATAAAGATAGTGGTCAGTATCTACCACCTAAGGCAAGTTTGAAACAAACTGTATTCACAATGAAAGAAGAACTGAATTATCTCATTGTAGCCTGATTTTGCTGTGTTGGCGAGAAAAAAAAAACGTTCTAAAGGAATGTCATTATTCTTCGCGGAAGGGGGGGGGATGGGGGGGGTGTCCTAAAACTTTTTTTGGGGGAGGGAGGATCACATTGTTTTTAAGGGAACGGAGGGAAGATCCGTCGTTTCCAACAGATTTTAAAGGGGAAAATATAGAGAAAATCGACTGCCAAAAGCGGAGGGGATCGTTAATTTAATACAAATAACTATTGGTGGATCAAATAAATTTCCTCGTGACACAACCAAAATCCTCCAATACTTTACTTTTCTGAGCTTACCTTGTTGTGACAGGTGTCTAATACTGTTGAAAATACAGCAGCGGTAGATAACAGGCTTCATTTTAGAACCCAAGTCGGTTGACAAACATTTGCCGCTTTAGTAAGCACTTTCCCGGTGCAGATTAACTTACAGGTCAGTTGCATATATTTTATTTCATCGAACATTCTCTTTCCGATCGTCGATCAAGAGTAGATTCTGAGAACGAAACAGGGCGTGTTCAATTGGAATTTACATCTTACATTTTCGTTGAAAAAAGACAGGAACTCGAAAATTATATGTGAACTCCAATGTCACTATTATTTTATATTGGTAAAGACTTGCTACAACTTTCACCATGATGCGAAGTTAAGGTGCACCAAGTATGCAGTTTTTCGGAATTTCCATCCCATTTCGTCTGACTGTTTTTCCAACACCATAACGTATTTTTAAGGATAACTTTAGTAAATTCCATCATGCAAACAACTTTTGTGAATTATAGGGGCTTTTGGGAGAATGGATGCATTATCTAGTATTTTACAACAATAGCAAGCCAGGTTTAAGTGATATAAAATCCTCACTTGAGCAAGACACATAGTTACGTTGAGCAAGTAATTTTGTGCAGAACACATACCAAAGTCATGTCTGGCCTGTCAGTTGGATAACCTGGCACTAGTTGGTTAAACTTTCTGTATACTCGTGGGAGAATAAGCACAGATACTCCGTTGCAATCAATCCTTGAAAGGTAACGACTTTTTTTCTGTGTTAAAAATATTGTTGTCATGATTTCCTAATGGGTAGTGTGTTCATGAGTGTTTTTGTCACGCGTGGTAATTAATACCGTAAGACGCTCAGCGCCAGTATTGAATGAAACGATACAGCTTATTTTCTCCCTTCCATTTTGCCACTAGAAATACATAAGCACTTAGTCTACCCCCTTAGGTCCTGATTGACATGGTCTTATATGCACGTGCATTCCGGGTAAATGCAGGGAAGCTTTGAAATACAGTAAACAGCAAACTGCATGTGTATCATGGAATAATTATTTTCAAACCCAGAATTGTCAAGTTTCTGCCCTTTTCTCAGCTTTCATTGCCGTGAGCATGACTGTCCTTTTTAACCCGTGAATTGCGCGCATACGCAAGAGTGAGTTGTAGATATGATGTGGAGAATGGCACTCGCTCGATTGGTCGATTCCTGTAAACTTTTTTTCGATTTTAGGCTTTTGAGTGCATTTGTCAGTTTTTGGCGAGTAATAAACAAACGAAATGGCGACCTTTGTTGCTAAGAATAATGGTGGGGTGAAAAACAAGCCAATAATAATCTTAAAAGAGTTTATTTTTTTCGTTTTAGTTTCAACAAGCGGCGCCAGCGACTGGCAGGCTTGCAAGGATTCACACTGAAATAATAGAGCAACCTTCGTTTTTTTTTTAAAAAATGTAATTTATAATCCTTGAACTTGAAAATAATCCGAGGATTCATTAAAAATATCACTTACTTCGAAACGCTCGGAGTTTACAGGTGTTCAAAAGCTTTTTCTGTTATGGCGTGAGATTGAGGAAAAAATCGATCAGTACATTTCGTATCGTGTGTTTTTTCTGTGTGAAGCAACAAAAGGTGCCGGCGACTGACGAAATTACAGGTTAACACGAAAATCAAATAACACCTAAACAAATAATTTTGGCTACAGATTTTCAGTGAATTTTTAAAGAACAATGTTCTTTTAAGTTTCAAGACAATTTGAAGATTCAAAATAAATATTACGTACTAAAATGCGAAAGTTGTACATCAAATAAATAGGCCTGAAATGAAATTCTATCTTGTTCTTGATTATACGTTGCCTAGCACGCGACCAAAATCTACCCAGGCGGAAATACACAATGACGGTGGCAGTCTGGGCTTAGTTTTGTCACTCAAAACTCGTTCCCGTTTGTCTCATTTGATAAAGAGGGAATCATTAATGTTTTCATTAATACAGTATTGCCTTGATTTTCTAATATTTACAATGATAGACAGTAAATTTAATTTTTCACCCACATTTACTTCCAACCTTTTCTTTTGAACCAGAAACAAAAATGATATATGTTTACAACACATGACATCATCCACCCTTGTCAAATGTAATAGCATAATCATTTCAACTGTAATGCCTTCTTATCCCAACCTTACTTTGTTTCTTGCTACATTAGCGAACATTGAACTACTGCGCGTACTCTAAATATGACAATCAACGACAAAATTCCCTGAACCAGATAACATTAAACAAAATCCAAAAAATCATGTAAGTCATCTGTCAGTTTACGAGTTTGCTCACAGAGTACTTTGATTCACAATTGAGATGGTTGAACCTATATTAGTTGCATGCCTATAGACGCAGTCAGACGTTATTTCTGTTTCTACCGTAATAAAGAGATTACTGCGTTTCCGAATGAAAACTCCGTTTTGAAACCTCGCCAGCCGAACGTGATCGGGCCAAATGCTCGTGCGAACATAACCCTGTGAACCAATTATACGAATAGATGAAATTCGTTGAGCATGACGATTTCCTGTTAAATAATCTCTGCTTCAATAGAAAACATACAAAAAGCTTGTCAACTTCTTGTCTGAAGATAATTATGACATGAATAGGTCAATAGAACCACGACCGTGACATACACGTGTCTTTATCAACGCTATAAAGTGAATTAATAAAGAGATAAACAGCAAGATATATAGATGAGTAAAACATGCAGCATTCATTCCTAACAAAAACATTTCCCGATCTTTTATCTCGTAATATGGTCCCTTAACTTCAAATAAAAGAGGAAGTTGTGTGACTTTTTCTTTTTTAACGTCAATGCTAATCTTAGTTCACCATTAGACCTCACAAAGTAATTGCGGTCGACTGTCAACTGTTCGCCAAATCGACGTAGATTCAATTTGTGGCAGAGTTTCAACTTGATTTGTACATCTTTTTGGAAATAATTCTTCTAAATTTCGCATTTTCGTCGAGCTTAATATTGAGATCCAAAGGTACGTTTATTAGAGCTCTTAGTTTGTTTTATGAAACCCCAGAATCTATACGCTGTCCGGTAGATGTTTTGAGTTACTTGTAACTATGGCGGCCTAAATACTATTTCGCAGCCGGAGAAGTCACAACAAGGACATGGTTTGTTCGGTAATACTTTTTTATTCGCCGGTAATTTACATTGCTCATGACTGCTTGAATTTTTATTTCCAAAGTTCAGTCTGCCTAATGTTAGTGTGTGCGATACGCGCGATAGAGAACTCACTTGTGGGACCTACATTTCATCATGATCAGCTATGAAAAAAACTCTCTCGCTCCGTAAAATGAACGGCATTCTTTGACATTATTAACAGATGATATTGTAACAGATATTTGAGCTGGTGATCGGAGTTGACTATAGAAAGCCGCTGCAATGTTATGCAAGTCTCTGATTGTAAACGAGTCAAAGCATCAACTTCTTTCAGAGGCTCTTCCGCCCTGACTTGAAATCGACTCACAGCCCCTGAGTCTCCGAGAATGACTGAAATACGAGTTATTAAAAGAATCGCACGACCACGAGAAAGATTTAGGACAAAAACTAGCCAACAGTTCTACGTCTTCAATAAAATCGGTAGTAAACTCCGAAATGCACGACAACAGCACATGCACATGAAGCGTCCTGTCCAAAGTCCTCTTCCTACACTTTGACATAGTTTTGATTGTATTGATGGTTATAATGATAACAATACTGACAAGAATAAAGGTAAAGTAGTAATAATAATTATTATTATAATAATAATTTAATAATTCTATAATGACAACATTAATTAATATTAATTTATAGACTTATATTGCTCAATTATCAATATAAGAATTTTAATTGCGCATTGCAATTAAATGTTAAAAATCCAATCCTACATAGATACTAAAAACTAAAAATAAAAAATAAAAAAATAAAAATTAAAAATAAAAATAAAAATGTTCACCAAGAAGATGTGAAAATATGAAATTAGATACAAAGAACTAGAAAGCTTTTGCAAATAAAAAAGTCTTAATGGCCTCCTTAAACTTATTTAAAGATTGGGTGTTTCTGATAGAGCCTGGAAGATCGTTCCACAATTTAGGAGCGGCCGCATGGAACGATTGATCGCCGACCGTGGTGATCTTGCCTCGGCCTACATAAGTGAGCTGATTTCTGTTAGAGACACCGGAAGATATGATTTACGTTCCAGTGACGGCTTACTCCTTGCTCCTTGCAAACA